GGATCAAGAAGCCGGAATTCCAAAATGGGGTGCCCGATCGGTAAGTGGAAACGTGGACCAAAACCTGCGGTTTGCCCCTCCTGTTTAATTTTCAGCCACACCCAGATGGCATCCGGATGCAAGATGCACATATGTTCAAGTCAGTAGATTATGTTTGGACATGTCTTTGTCATTGCTGTATCAACACTGTCTCGGTGCAAAGTGCAAGATCGGAGTGCGACGATATCAACCAGTGGAGCAGCATTTCATAGCGACCCTTTCAAAGTGAACCAACTCACACACTGAGGCCAGTGCTGAAATCAATCCTTGCGTATTCCCACTGCAGGTCAGCTGTGGTACTCAGGAGGAACATGCGACTACTCAATCCGAGGAATTCCCTCTTTTTTACACATAAGGAATGGCATAGTTCCCTACACCTTCTTTGGCTTACACGGCTTTGCCAGCTTTGGGCTGACCTTGCCTCTGCCAAACTTGACCGCCTCACACAGCACACACTGCTTCTTGTCTGGTTTGATACAGGTCAATGTGTGTGTGTCACTCTGGCTTCAGCCAAATCCCCTGCACCTTGCAACCCTGTACAAGCAAGAGTCAAACCACTCTCAATGGTAGCAAGGGCATGGTGGGGCTTCAAATAATGCTGGCATCTGGTGCAAAGAATTCCCTTCCCAAAAGGCTTCCAGCAATGACCATTCAAGGGTGTTTCAATCGCTTGGGTAAGCAAGCCTGCCTTCCGGACTCTCGGCTGCAGCCTTAGGCAGGTTGACTGTAAGCCATAGCTTTACCCTTTCTGCAAGGAATTGATTGAGCTTCCAAGCCCTGCTGTCAATCCAATCAACAATGCCAGGATGGACATGCGGAGCTGCATGGGCTCCTGCCACATCTGTGCACATCTGCTGCTTCATTTGCCTTCCAAGCCCAGAGAAGCACAGGTGAGGAATTCCCTCAATGTAAAGCAATTCTCCTCCAACAGGGGCAGCAGACCCCTGATTAGCATGGTTTTTTCAGATCTATCCGAAGTTGACCATATTAACTATTCCCACTTTAGAGAGTGGTTAGAACTCCCCAAACGGTACAGGCTTATTTATTGAGGATGGTGCACACAGACATAGGGTTGAATTGGGATTATCTTCCATGGTGAGGGGTGTACCCATCTTGCGTGATATCATCCTCCGACATGGAACCCATCAGGCACCTTTGAGAGGAACAACTTGTCTTCGGACCTCCCGCATCCTTTCTGCATGTGCTGTGCTACTTGGGGTGATTCTGCGTTACTATTCGTGGGTGCGCGGCGCGTATTTATACCGGCCCTCTATCTTTCTGGGGCGAGCGGTGGGCCGCTACTGCTTTAGTGAGGTAAGAACAACATCGGCACCTTCTATGCTCCGCTGAGACTTGGTTGATGAGGGGGTGCTTGCCTTCAAAGATTTTTGACGCCTGCGCCGTCATTGCATGCCTTTCAACAGTTTCTTGGATTCAAATTTAGAGTTGGACCCTTTTGGGAACAGTGGTTAAACGAGACCAATGTATCATGAATCAGTGCCCATTTGGAGTGGTCCAACACAGCTGGTGCTGTGTCGCTCTCCCGCAGGCTGACTGAGAACTGCTCTGGCATGGAAAGGCATTTTCCCACAAGGATAATTGAGATCCATTGCCGATTTGTGGTTTGTAAGGTTTCCCGCTACCCTTTTCAACTTGGTTTAATTAGAGGGAAGCCAAAAAGAAAACCACACGTTTTGAGGTCCCCTTAAGCCAAGAGGGCGTGTTTGCAAAATTTCCTCCGGGGGTCCCGGACAATAAGGCAGACCCAGCTTTTGGAGAGCGTCTCCAGTTCCGTGTTTGGGAACTCTGGTGTCCACGAGTCCCAATCTTCACTTAACTTCGGGGATGTCGACCAACGTTTGTGGCGAATTCCCGGCTGCACCCGGGCCTCAAATGAGTTGGCTGCGTTCCCCGGACGGAATTAAACCCCAAGCTTTCGCGAAAAGACGTCTTAGGAAGATCCTGATCGATGTGAGCTTCTGCAGAACCCTGCCAAGGCAAGGAAAAGGACTCCCTTGTTTGCCGTTTGCTGGGGAGGCTTGGTCAAAGTAACACCGTAACTTATGGTCCATGCGCTCTCTAAATGCAGTGACCGTGACTCAGATTTGGAGTTTTGATTGCTGCAAAATTACCGGCATTTACTTTATCTAGAAGTGTTTCATGCATGCCTGGACCTTCCGGGGGTCAACCATTTTAGGCGCTGGCCAAAAAACACATATTATTGGTCACCGAACAAAACGGTTTGCTTGGTTTGGTCATATGCAAGTGTGAGCAGAGCCCGAAACCCTGACTAGTTGGTGGTGTTGGTAATCAGGCTTAGATGAGCTTTCATGACCATCTTGGTGAGCCCCAAAAGAGCATCTGTTTGGGCATGCAAGAATTCGGATCCCATCGGTTGTTTAACCAAGATGATGTTTCCTTGTTGTTGGGTTGGTTACTTGCCAGATAGCTTTTTGACATGTTTATTTAGATCAACCTCCTGCCTTGCTCACTCACTGCTTGGTACCAGGCTTGGTCTTATGGCTGCCTTCAATTGTGTCCAATCTCCAAAGGAGGTCTTTCGAAGCCCCGCATCAGGGCTGGGAAGCCAAGGACTGACCCATGTTACCAGTGTCCGTTTTATGATCTAGGTCCCCCAGTAGTGCCCTTTTACCCTTTTTTGGGGGAGAGTTCCCCTACTAAAATAGACTACATACATCAAAAGGGTACCCTTATTCTAACCCGTCTACTGGAGGACCTACTGATAGTTGTACATTCCGTGTGTGGCCATCAAGGCTTTGGTCCAGTTGAGTTTCCTGTTCTTCAATATCGCTAGGAAATAAAGAAGGCCACAATAAACAAGTTGCAACCGTGCCCAGCTGCTCAGTGACAGCTCTCAAATCCGTGCTGCTTAAAGGCGGGTTCCTTTGCTTCACTGCCATCTGGCAGGATCCTTCATAGCCATCTCAGGATCCTTAAGAAAGTGTTTTGATGGCACTCGCCCAACAAAAAATCGTGCTGGTGCTCAGTAGGGAATGAGAAATGGAATGAGCCTTACCCCTCCAATTGGTTTTCTTTTTTCGGGAATCCCCTTCCGGTTGATTCAACCACATTCCCTTGCATGGGGGCTCAGGGGGAGGGAGAGGGAGCCCAAATAAGCCCACAATAAAGCAATATCAGTTGCTGCTTAGTTGGGCTCCCCCCCCCCTTCCTCCCCCCAAGCCCCCATGCAAACCCCCATCCAAAGATCCGATTCGCAAAGAGCCAGGGCGGAGTTGTTCTCCGGCCTTGGGGAGCTCGCAAAGAACGCTGCGCCAACGAGCTGAAACTGAGAGCCGTTTTTAGGGACGTGAGACAATTTGTGGTGGTTTTTGGAAGAGCGATCCAACTTATGTGAGGTCCCTAGGTGGTTTTTGGAAAAGTTCATAAGCAAAGCTCATAAACGATCGCAACATAAATGTAAGAAATAGAACCATGTCCAAACTTTACGGCGAAAGCCTCAAAATGGCGTTGAAGTTGTCCTTTTCCTTGGTTCCCTGCAAAAAAAACTGGCAGCCTCAAAAATGTGTCATGGTCACAAAACACGTTTTCTTGGGGAAGGAATGGGTGGTTATCCACATTAGTACGGAATGTAGACAGCCATTGCAAGGACCATGCCTGTGCCCATCCAAACTGGGCATGTTCATCTTGAGTTCCTTCAAAGCGAATCCCAGAAAAAACAGGTTTTGAACACACGTTGTATTTGACTGATTGCAAACAGTGAAGCAAGCAGCAGAACAGCTGGTGCTTCAAGTGGGTGTTTGCTCACACAGGCGAACCCGGACAAGCAGCCGACCCCGGAAGAGCAGGTTTGCGTCGCATGTTTTTCTCCACTGTCCCTAGACCAACACATACTCACAGTGCGTGTTGCCGCGGCCCAAGCAGCATGCAACATGTGTGGGCCTTGCAGTATAAACCTCAACTGAGGAAGGCGTTCACAATGCCACATGAAGTGCAGGCACGGCAAGCAAACACCCTTGGCATCGACAACATGACAGTTTCGCAAGCTTCATCATTACTCTGTAATTGTCCAATGTACCTAGGTCGCCCAGTAGTGCCCTTTTACTCTTTTTTTGGGGAGGGTTCCTCTACTAAGATAGACTATATACATAACCAAGGGTACCCTTATTCTAACCTCTCTACTCAGTTCTCAAGGACAGCCGGTTCAAACCACACAAATTCTCACAAATTTGCCAGCAGACTCCAGCAGAAAGGAGTGGCGGCTGGAACTCCAGAACGAGCAAGGGGCACTCCGCGGCAAGCTTCGGTGTGGGCTTCTGTTTCCCATGTTTGCTCCAGGTTTGGCTATTGACAGAGTTCGGGAACGGCTATTTGCTTCCCGGGTTTTTCAAAAGAGCATTCTTTCGAGCTTTTAAGGACATGTTTCGGCCCTTTGAGCCTATCGCAAATCACATCTACTCCGCCACGGAGTTTCCCTGCTTTCAACCGCGTTTTTTGTTGTTTAACAATTTCACAGTTCCTTCTCCAACTTCGAATTTGCATCCGCCGATCCACCGCTTTTTTTCTCCGGTCCTTTGCCCGCTTTTTGCCCGGTCTTTTCCGCGTCGCTGAAGGCTGCTGGGGGGCAAGCACGCGGAGGGCTTTTGTAGGGCGCTCTCCTCCGACCGCATCAACGCGGATGCCGGCGGCTCAGGCGCGGGGAGTGGAGACGCGGGATGGGACCCAGGGCGAGGCGGGCTGGGGGACTGCTTCTTTGCGTGTTTTTTTGTTTTAATGATGTTTTTGGCTTTTGTGCAAGGCGGTGGGGGTTCATGGGTTTTGTAAAAGCCCTGTTGTTTTTGGGGGCGTCTCGTTTTTGGGTTTCGTACAACAAGCAACATTGGGCTTCGGGTTTCATAAAACTCATTTGTGTCTTTTGGGGGGGACCCTTGGGAGCCTTGGTGCCACACGGGGGGTTTCTGACGGCAGGTGACGAGTTCACCATGGACGATCAGATGCTCATGGAGCTCTTGGCTCTGGGCATCGATGCCAAGATGTCAGTGCGCCTCGACGGTTTTTTCGGTGATCGATCGGATCGAGTGGGGACGGGGACTTGGTGCGCCTCGACCCTTTTTGCGGTGATCGAGTGGGCGGTGGCGGTGGACAATTCCATTTTAGTCGGAGCTGTTGGGAACCATCAAAGCGGGACTTTTTGGTGGCAGAAAACCCATGTCTTGAGGCAGTTTCATGGGTTTCATGGGTTTCATGGACTGTTGTTGGCATGTCTTGAGGCTTGCTAGGTCGTTTGATTCTGTTCAGTCTTTTGGTATGGGGCTTAACTTTTGGCAGGGTTCTGAGTGTGGTCAAGTCAAGACCCCAAAGAGGATGCTTCGATGGTCTGGAGATTTGGAGAGCCCACTCCCAGTTTCTCCCCAAACAGAGCTCACCTCGCCAGGCGTCCACCCATGCCTAAACCTCCCATGATGTTCTGGCCAACTCAGCAAGTCAGTCAAGCAACTCGTTTGCAAAGTGGCAAGCAATCAGTGCAACTTGGATGACTTTTAGGAAGAGGGAATGTTCAGACAAAAGCAAATTCATGAAGTACTAGAGACCAGTGAACTTGGACAAGATGTCACTCCCGATCATGGAGGAGTTGCTTTCCTTGAAAACCTGCTTGAGGGCTTCCTGGCCTTGGGCCGTGGAATCTTTCTGCCGAAATCATTGCCGCGTGCTGTTTGGTGAAGCAATGAGGAAAGGGTTGCTTCTTCCCCAAGCCTGCGTTCGGCTTGTCTCAGATGGCCACGTGGATGTGTTTCCTTTGCCAATTCGGTGAAGTCTGTTGGTTTTTTTTGAAACGGGACCCAACACACATTTCTTAAGGCATCCCGCATTCGAAAGGGGAAAGGCGTGTTCAATGTGTTCATGTGGGTGTGGCTCAAAATCAAACAGGAGGGGTTACACAGGTGTTGGTCTATGTTTTCACTTGGCCATGTGTTCCCACCCGGATTGGACGACCTGAGGCTGGCGAATGACGCCTACGAGAAGAACTGTGGGATGATCTTTGAGTATGGCCACACCGTCTCCCACGCCATCGAGAAGGCGCTCTGGGCAGAGCAATTCACCAGCTTCCCAGTTGCCCAGTGGATTCCGGCCCTTTTTTCGTCTTTTTTTTTTGGGAAGGGTTCCCCTTTAAACACAAACGAAGTATAAAAAAGGGATGCCCTTTTTTCCCATGGCCACTGGGCATCTAAGGCTTTTGTTTTTGTTCAGAAGGATTTTTGCTTCGGGGGATAACCTAAAATCCCAACTTCGCGAAGGCACTGACGCGTGATATGTGACGCGAAGGCGAAGCCTTCCGCGCGGTTGACACAGGGGAAGCCGCTTCGCGAAGGTTAAAAGCAATTGGGCAGTGTTCACAACGTCCTGCTCAAATCTAGATCATAGGGAAGTCTTACGCCGAGGTGCTTACGCGAGCTTACGCGAGCACAGGGGTAGCTTACTATGCTCCACTTGCACTTGCACAACGCACTTATGCGGCGCTACGCCGTTTGCCTTACGCGCGAGGGCCCTCACGACCACCCCCCCTTCAATCGCAATGCAAAGTCGATTTGAACTCTGCTCAATTGGCAGTCGCTAAAAACTACGGGTCCACAATGACCGTTTAAACATGGGTCCATGTCCACATTATTTTGGGGTAGTGACCCCATTTTTGTCTGACTTTTTAAGGGTGATGGAAACTCCATGTATGCGTCTTGTTGCGGAGCCACTGAAAGCCATCGTCCCGCGAAGCCTTGCGAGCCCTTCACATCTCGCGAGAAGGTCGCAGGCTCCCCAGCAGTGTAGCCCCGAAGACCCAAAAAGCACGACTCGTTTACTGTATAGAAGGTCATGGCCTAAAAAAGTTGGCCCACCCTCAAGAAGCCAATTTCGGCCTCAAGCCGAAATTTGGCTTGGGCAGCATTGGTAGTAGGCAGACCCGGTCTCTGAAAGGGCGGAGCAAAAGTATTTAGACACCTGAAGAGGTGCGGGCGGCGTACAGCCAAGATCAACCTGTATTAGCCGGAGCCGCTTGCTCTTTGTTTGGGTTTGTGTGTGCGCGCGTTCTTTTTCTAAGACAGCAAGCCCAGCATATCATTGTGGTTGTTGGGTTGTTACAAAAGCCCAAACCCAACGGTGTTGTTTTTTTATACATGGAGTCTCCATGACCCGTTAACAAGGGGTCCATGACCCGATTGTTTTGGGTAATGCCCCCATTTTGTAAGGGTCATGGAGACTCCATCCTTCACAAAGTCTTGGGCTCCCGGCAGGGACTCCAAGCGATGAGAGCCAGAGCCCACTGGCAAGATGCAAGATGAGCATTCCTCATACCCATCTGAGAGGAAACATCCCATTTATTTGCCAGTTCAGAACCTAATTCATGTGTCGCGGATTGCGAATTGTGCAGTCTACGCATCCTCCGCAAGTCAGACAAACAAAGAGCAAGGCTGTTTCAAGTCCTACTGGTGGAGAAATACTTGTCTCATAGCCTCAATCGCGCATGCGCAGATGGTCAAACCACCCCCCCGGCCATGGCGCAGGCGTATGGCGATGGTGTGATTCCCCATGGCTTGGGGGTGACCTACGGGATGCTCTCCAGACGCTCAATCCAAGACCTGGCAAAAGGGACGCCCCAAATAGGTCCGGAGATGCCGACGAGCTCGCGGTACAGGCTTTTTAGGGAATCAGTTGTTTCTAGAATGATTGTTCTAGGGGTTGATTCCTTTTCCATTCTTTTCAACCATGGTTCTTTCCAAAAAGCGGATCCATTTTCCCTCGGTTTTTGGAGGCTTTCTAGAAAGAAGAATCCCTGGAAAGAATGGGGAAGGTACCCCTAGAATTGTTGCATGTGCAGACCCTTCACAGTGATTGCATTTGCTGCTTTAGGCGTTCATGATTTCCCCAGCTTTTGCATGTACCATGATGTGTTATGCAGGTTTGCCGTGCTTACCAAAGTGGTAAATTGAATCTCTGCGCCAAGTTGTTACTCTTCAAACTCCAAGTTTTGAAGTGTTTGAAAGAATCCCTGCAAGACTGATTCAAGGGTGCCAAACTGGCCTCAACTTTACTTCCCTTGGATTTGCGGAACATTTGCTGCATGAGTGCGTTTAAGGCTCCTATGCTGCAGAGAAGATGGGCATTATGTCCAAGGCTCGCCGTCGCTGGCATCGTTTCTTCATCGCTCACTCAAGTTGGATTTCTCAGATCCCTCTAGTATCGAGTTGTTTCCATTTCCTTAAGAATATGATTTGCTTTTTTCCCTGCTAGTTTTAAAGGGAATCTATCACCGCCGGACACATGCTTTTTTGTTTTTCCAGGGGGCCTGAAACGCAAATGGAAGGTTGGCAAACGAAGCAAGAGGTTTGAACCAGACACTCGGTGACTGCTCTTTGCACCTCCGCACCTCCGAGGGATGGGTAGAGTTCCTAAGAAACAGGGTTGTGGGATCACAAGGCGTTTATCCAACCACTGTGACACAAGTTGGAATCTCCTTTCTTAACTGCGGGGGTGTAGTCAAAAAGGGTTAGGCCCTTTTTGTTGTATCACAGCGGATTCCATTTCCCACAGCCCTGCTCAGAAACCTGTTCAAGTGGCGTCCTTTGCTCGTTTTAAAGGAGCACAAGAGGTTGAAATGGGTTATCATCAGCTTTCAAAAGAAGGGGACACAAGAGTGAGAGCTTGGTAGTCAGTGTCCCAGGGGGACCCCACAGCATTGCGAAAGCAAATCAATCATTCCCAAAATCGCGGCTCCCACTTCAAACCCTCGAATGGAAGGGCGAAAGAGTTCCGCTTGCGTTGGCCAAAGTTGAAAAGTCAAACCGAGGAGTGGTCGGCGAACCGGGTTCAAGTCTTGGCTGAAGTCTTCCTTGGAGTTTTAACTTGAAAAGTGGGGAGCTCTGAGCTCTGGCCTTTTCCACTGCCATTTCTTGGTCCATGTCCACTTCAAAACTTGGTGGCTAGCCATCCGGTTCCTTAGCCTTTTAGCCTTCTAGTGTTTAGTGGGGATTTGCATTTAAGCCACTAAAAGTTCGTCAAACCTTTAGCGGGGGATCTGAAAACGGACTGCCCAGTTCAATGGAGCTGGGTGAATTTTAACGACCTCACACGACCGAATTCACCCCAAATGGTGGTTTATGTGGGGAATAGCTTTCCAAGAACCTTATTTCAGGCTGGTGAAATATTATAACTCACCCAGATGGGTGGCTCGTCCAACTTGTTTTGGAGTTGGGAAGTACTTCCATTTGCTTAAGAATATGTTTTATTTTCCCCTGTTGGTTTTAATGGGAATCTATCCCTGTTGGACATATGTTCTCATTTTTTCCTGCGGGGCTGAAACGCAAATGGAAGCGGACCATCCAACCGGGGCAAGCGCACCACTTCGCAGGAGGCCCGCTGTGAGCACGACGACCTCTGCTACTTGCTGCTGAGGCGCTGGCCTTTGCCAGAGCCCCGGCCCTCTGCGGAGGTCGCACCTCGGCCTAAAAAGGGCCGTGGTGTCTTCACCAGGAAACCAACACATAGAACAGGCCGGTCGTGGGCCACGAGGGAGGGGGTCGGAAACCCTAAGCCCACTAAACCCACTAAACCCAGCTAAGATCTACCTGGAGTCTCCTTCTGACCCCCCAGCTAGGTGCCCTTTCTCACCCCTTTTTTGGTTGGGAGGGTTCCCCTACTAAAATAGACCTGGAGTCTCCTTCTGACCCTTTAAAAATGGGTCTATGATCGTACTAAAATAGACTGCCGGTCGTGGGCCACGAGAAAAGGGGTCTGGATTTTGGGTGGCACAGGCAAAACACAACCATTCATGTTGGGACACCCTAGTCTAGGTCCCCCAGCTAGGTGCCTTTCTCTCCCCTTTTTTGGTTGGGAGGGTTCCCCTACTAAAATGGACTACGGCCGCCAAAGAAAGACACCAATTCTGCCTCTTTGCCGGCAACATGTCAAGTTTCTGCAGGGGACCTTAGTTTGACGAAGCAAAATGATTCCGCAGTTTGCCTTTGAGTAGCGTTTGGCGCGCTTGCAAAAACAGAAGCTAAAAAAGACTGGGAACCTGAGGAACGCTCGCTGAAAGCAACATATTTATGGTCTTGTTTTGATCTCCCCGTTTGCTACATCCTTTTTGTGATCTCCCTTGCTCAGGGGTGGTCATGCAGAAACCACAAGCAACTGGCAAAAACGAGAGGATTGTCCTGTTCCTCAAAATGGGCCAATGCATTTTTTTGTCCAACCAAGCAAGTGAGTGACCCGAGACTCCAAGTACCCCAAAAATGGCTTCGGTTTTCGTGCTTTTTTATCCAACCTGAAAAGGGTTCCGAGCCGCAAAAGAGACGAACCCATGCCCTGGAAATCCACGACTGTTATTTAAACGTCCTTTGCACCTCGCCTGTTTTTTGCAGCTAAAGCCTGTTTTTTGCGCCTGCAGTGAGCCATGGCGTGGTATTTGATGGATTATTCATGCTGTTGCCACGTTTAGATTGTACAAAGCCAGTTCCACCCCAACATGTCTTGACACAACAGCTTTGGTGTGAACATAGCGGTCCGTTATGTACGCAAAAGTAGCGTGAAATCACCGTGAAAATACCGTGAAATTGGCGTGCAAGCCTGTTTTCCAGCGTGAAAGCACGTTTTCTGCCGTGAATTTTGACACCGGTGAATCTATGTGTTTCAGCCTGTCTTTGATAATCCCTCCGCTTGTTTTGTGGGAACGGAGGTCAAGTCTTTGCACACTTTGGTCCTGAGCACGTGCGGCGACCGAATTGTTCAATGATATCAGCTGAGCTTGGACAAAACTACTCCTGGCAAAAAGCCGCTTTTCACAGAAAACATTCAAAATAAACCGCCTTTGGAACCCCAGGGCATGGTAAAAGACAAGCATCGAATCCAACAAAGAAGCACCAAATGCGTGCTTTTTTGGAGGGACCTGGGCTTCCTCTTGGTTTTCATTGAATTACCAGCCTTTTGCACAGGGTGCAGAGCCTGAAAGCCTGACAAACCGCGACACCAAACTAGAAGCCCAAGGACAAAGCCATGCCTGGAGTCTCCATGACCCTTACAAAATGGTTGGTCATTACCCAAAATCATGGGGTCGTGCACCCATTTTTTAAAGGTCAAAAGGAGACTCCAGGCAGAGATGTCTGTTGTTGTTTGAGATGGTCGAGAAAATAGCCTTTGAACCAACAAAAGCCATCTCCAAGACCTTCCCCGCGCGAACTTTTGCACCCTCCAAACAAGAGCGTTTCCCCAAATGGTACGGCCAGAACACGGCCTCATAACTGGAGTTGAGCGTTTGGAGCTGCAAGGTGATGAGCCTGGCGATGCGGGACTCCAAGCGCGGCATCACCTCGGAGGCCGAGGACGAGATCTCCGACGTGCTGCTTCGAAGCCGCTCGTCCGAAGAAAAGAAATCCAGTTCCTGAGGTCTCCTGTCGATCGTTTTAGCTGGTTTGGGGTCTAGAAAAAAATGGCACAAAAAGTGAAGATATACAGCAGAAAAGGGTTTTCAGCTGGTTCTGGGTGGGTTTCGTGGGCTTAGGGTTTCCGAAGTTAACCAATTTAGTCACTGAGGATCAGAAAACGGAGAGCCCTGAAAAGAAGAGATGGGTGTGCCCGGGTGTCCAAGGTTGCGTGAGATTTGGTAAATGGATCATAGATCAAAGGCCACAGAGAAATGTGCTGAGTTATGTTGCAGCTCTCTGCCACTTGCATTTGCTGGTGATCGATAGGGAATGACAAATCCGGATGTTGGGAATGAACAGATTGGGGCTTCCCTGAAAGGAAGCCACTCATTCGCTGAGAACCAGCAAGAAATGCAGACGGGTGTGTGTGTGTGTCTTTTTGAGGCTCGGCACCCTTTGCGTGCTTTGGTTTCAAGGGAAACCACGAGGAAAACCAAACACGCACGCATATGTTTTGATAGCCCTTGCTATTCAAGAAATCATCACTCAATGGAGACCAAAAGGAATAGGTGTTCTTGTTCTGTTCCGCCCCCCCCCCCCCCACCCCACCCAGCAAAAACACCCATGACTACCAAAGCTCGGGGATGTGTTGAGTCGGACATATCGGAACCGCAAATTGGTTTTACATATTGTTCTCACATGACGCTGCCATTTTCTCTGCCTGTGCGGCTCGGCTTGGTCAAATGTTGGATGACCATCAGTTGGTGATGTGTGTTCTCTGTACCTGGAGTCTCCATGACTCTTGAAACATGGTTGGTCATTACCTAAAAGAATGGGGTCATGGACCCATTTTTGATTCGGGTCATAGAGACTCCAGGTATGTGTGAAGGTGGCCTGATTCGTCAGCGAACACTCTTTTCAGGCGTTCTTCATAAGCCGCAAGCAAATATGGTCAGACTGTACTACTCTTGCAGCTGAGCAGACGTGTAGCTGTCCATTGGTGCTTGCTACAGGAACAAAAAGAGCCCCCAGATAAGCCTGAGGGATTAACAAGGCCAGCTACGCCCCCCCCCCCCCAAGTTCGCCCGGAACGGGGTCCGTGACGAAAGTGGGGGCCAGGTATGGGGGACATTGTGCCCACGCCCACCAGCATGTTGTCCAAGTTCCCGGCGAAGTTCGTAGAGGCGAGTCGAAGTCTTCGATGGAGTCTTTTTGGATGGGGCTGAAGGGAAATTGCCACGACTCACTTCCTGAGTTCGGATGGGCTTTACCTGGAGTCTCCTTCTGACCCTATAAAAATGGGTCCATGACCCCGTAATGACCCCAGTTTTCAAGGGTCATGGAGCTCCAGGTAGTCCCTTTTTGGGAAGACCATCTTGCTGGGGAAATCCAAATTGGCGTTTTGGCCCAGTCCACCCAGAGGAAAACCGCCGGCATTTTGGGGCCCCCAGCCTTTGAGACAGAAAGGCGTGTCCTCCAGGAACGGAAGCCGGAAAAACCTCTTGCGACCCCCGTTACCGTTCTCCTCTAGAGACCCGGCTTCGTTTTGGGGGTGGCCTTCTTTCAACCAGCGGCACAACTGGGTTTGGGGCGGGTTGTGGGGGGATGAAGGGTGGAACCTCGCCTGGGGGGCTCGCCTAGGGGGCTTCCCGAGTTTCGTTTCGGACTTTAGTCACTCTTTGAGTTGGACCGTTTCAGTTGCAAATTAAGAAGTTCGCCTGGAGTCTCCATGACACTTAACAAATGGGTCCATTACCCCATCTTTTGTGGTAATGACTCATCTTTTAGGGTCATGGAGACTCCAGGTGGTTGCTTTTGTTGCCAATCCACTCTGGAAGTGAGCTATGGAAGTGAAGTGAGGGAGCTGGTCACCAGGGAGCCCAGGGAGCTGTAGCCGAGTTTCTCGAAGGCTCGCCACTCGCCCCCTGTTGGACCCCCTTGCCAAGGCATTGCATATGTTGGCTCTTCTTTGAAATGGAAAGCATCAAATCCAAGAGTCCCAGCTCGCTTTCGATCCAGCTCAGGGCCTAGCATCATATGGTTGGGCGATCACAGGGCGGTTTGCACGTAGGATCAATGTCGCCTTTTTTTGGCTGCTCATTTGAGGGGGGGAGGGGGTGAAGCAACCTGATTCGCCCAGAAATCATAACACCATCATCTTCTTGCCTTAAGCCTTCTGGCTAATTTCTAGGTTGACTTCAGGAGCATTCAGGGAACAAGCCCCAAAACCCCCTAAACCCCCTAAACCCTCTGAACATAAGTTCAAGGACCCTCCCGCAACAAGGCTTCCGCCTCGCTGCATGTGGGAGGTTGTCAAGAACGCCTTTGGGACCCTCCAAACAGAAGCAAAGACGCTCAAGTAGAAGCAATACACACACACGCGCAGAAACAAGCAGAAGCAAACAGGAACAGCAAGCAAGCGAGCGAGCGAGCGAGCGAAGAAACGACTCTCACATGTCATGCTCTCAGTTGCCCTTAGCAAAATCCAACCTGGGCATGTCGACTTGTCAGCGCCAAAATGAATTTGATTTTTCAGAGGCCTTGTGCCCCGTTCTTTTGGGGAAATAGAACACCGGGGCGGGGCTTCGTCCTATGTTGGGGCTTCCGGAAGCAGAGGAACTGTTGGTCTTCCAACCCGGGACCCGCAGTTTCCCGGGTCCTTCGATCCGATTTTGATCTTGGCTCATGGAAATTATTTTGCCATTGGACTCTGCTTTGCAAAGGCCTGCTTTGCAAAGGCCTGCTTTGCAAAGGATCCTGGAAGATCAAGGTGTTGAAACATGGGACAGGGGACCTTTGCGCTGGATGGTGTCCGATACCAAGCTGTCCGGGGTTTGGTGCACAGACCTGCATGTGTGTCTTATGGCGCCCTTCTGTCGTGTTTTTGGAGGGAATCAACGGCCACCACTTTCTTTTTTCATTTCTTTTTTTTTGGGGGGGGTTGAAAGAAAGCAAAGACAGCCAACGCCGTGTGCATCGCTGACACGCAGGAATGGCTTCTGGAGCAAGGCTTTCCATGAGCGGAGGTGGCGACGCGTTGTTTTGAGGTGCGAGCGACCTGCGACTGGAGATCGGAGCTCTGATTTTTGTTGGAAATTCCTGAAGCAAGAGCTCAAGACTTTGCCCTGAAACGGCATAGGTTGGTTTGGGCAATGTGCGAGTTGAAGTGTTTGCAACCGACTTGAAGTATCCGTTCGACCTTTTGACTGGTTCAGCCGACCATTGTTTAGGGGTCGACACGGTAAACATCAGGAACACCTCCATGTGCTCAAGGAAAGAAGCGCTCCTGCTTAAGACGACTAAGATGCTCTGGGTTGAACCTTGTTGAACGAATTTCGGCGTGGAAGTTACCCTTTGGCGCCGAGACGCACGTGACATTTTTTGGGGTCTCCCTCCAAAGTTGATCGAGCCACACTTGGTTTCCAAAAAGCCTCGGATCCCTGCACAAATGATGGCTTTTCTTCGGGTTTCCCTTGCAGGATCATTTGGTGGGTCTTCATTGGTTGGCATCCAGATATGGATGCCTCGGCGGCTCAAGGTTTCGCCGGTAGGGTGCAACACGCAAGAGGCTATCCGGGGTTTCCAAAAAACAAGTTCACAAGCACAGCAAGGTTAGACAGGCGAGCTGTCCACCGTCAGTGTGCCTTGGAAGCCTTGCTTGTTTTGCCCGAAACGCACTCCAAGGGAAAGGTCATGGGAGTAGGGAATCTCACGGCTGGAGGAATGTGCGTAGCAGGGGGCATTTAAGCGTTTAGCAGCTCGATTTCAATCGGCTTTTAGATTAATGATGCTTCTTTGGAGCCAGCCAACCTTGAGTTGCAGATCGCTCTTGGCAAGCCTCTGTGTAGTGCATCACTGGATGGCCTGCATCCACTTTAGGTTGCTGATTACAGGCTCGGTATTCTTGATTCTCCCATGACACGGTACAGGGGTACAGGTGCGATCCGGGGGAACGCGCATGTCGAACAAACGCGCATGTCGTTCGACGCGCGAACCGCCGAATCCTGCATCGACAACAATGTTTGGCAATCCAGTCAAGAGGCAAGAAAGGTTCAGGGGAACTTCCCTTAGCCTGTTCAAGACCGACCTCCGGACCTTTGTCGTCGTTGTTGTTCCCCACGCGACAGGCTTGGGGCTGTTAGATGTTAAGTGACGTCCGACCGCCCGACCGCTCGCCCACCGCCGGCCGACAGACACCAGGTCGACAGCCTAGGACAGACTCTTTCGACAGCTGCGACAGAGCCTGTGACCAGGACATGCGAAAGCCTGAAGGCCAAAGCTTGAAGCAACGAAGACAACACCGAACCAGGACAAGCTTTGAGCGCGGCACAGCTCAAGCGGCGCCCGTTGTTTTGATCTGCGCGCTCTCAGCTGCTATCGGCCTATGTGGTTGGATATTGGGGCTGTCCGACGCAAGAGGGGAAGTTCGGTAACAGCAAGGGCTACTATTGGTTAGGGTGAGCATTGCCTTTCTTCCGTTTTGGTACTGGGTTTTCTCGCATCACGTCAGCCAGCGTGTGCTTGAGGCCCCACGTGCAGTCGGGTTGGCCTTTTCGGTGCCTGTTTTTTGTTTTTGTTGCAGTCTAGCTGAATCAAGCATTCCGTCGTGTTCAACCATCGACCCATTGACCAGCAGTGTTCCGTTGAAATCTAGAGTTCCTTGTGCCAAGGCACTCCGCTGAACACTGGCTGAAACAATTCCAACCAGTCTCTGCCCTCCCTGGGATCGCCTTTGTGCACTTACCCGGCTTCAGTCTCAGTTTCAGCTGAGAACACAACGCGCAATGACTTCGGAATCTACGCTGAATTGATCCGAGGGGTTCCCATAGCGTTCAAAGGGAGCCACTGAATTTTCCCGCAAGACTGAGCCGGTCGACTCCAAGCCGAACGAGTCTTCCTGGCGTTTGGAGTCAGGTTTTGCGCCAATTCGAGCTCGGTGTGGCGTGCACTGCACGAGCCCTGACATTTCTAAGGCTGTCCCATCAGGCTGGGGCCGTTTGAGGTGCGACCATCAAGCAGACATCTTAGTTCATATTAGGTTCCTTGTCCCAGAAAAGCTGTAAACTTTGGTCCGGTAATTAAACAGGACCACTTTTTTGATTGATGATTCCAGTCCAGGGGGCTGCTCACATGTACTCGACCCGGACTCGCAGAGTCAAAGAACGTGATTGGGTTTTGACATATACTCCCTTCCACTCCCCATCTCTGTTTTTGAAGGACTGTCTGCAATCGCAAGATGCGGGAGCCCGAAATGATGGGTGATTTGCCTTTGGTTTCTGATTGAACAACCCAAACAGGGCTGCCCGAAGAGGAGTGGTTTCACACCAGGTTTTCCGCAATGAATGGACTCAGCCTGCTCCCAGTTGCTGGGGGCATCCCGTTCGCTATTTTGGAACCGGTGTCATGATTGATGGATCGTGACCAGCATTTTCCCACTACGGAGACTCAGCCAGGTGATGCGACCGGGCGGGTCAGGGCAAGAGGTGCTTTTGCCAATGTGTTCTACCCAGTTGCAGCCAGCAAGTTCTGCCCTCGATCCTTTTTTTGGATAAGCTGCATGGAGGCCGGGTGGTTGGAACGAGTGTAAAATTGTTTAGCAGGCTTTGCCCACATACATGTTGGTTTACGGCCGGTTATGCTTCTTTTCAGGAAATTGCCGAAGCTGGCAACCGAAGAAGGTTGTTAATTCCAATGAATGCAAAGAACAATGCGAGTCACACATTCCATGACATGGATATATCTTTGTCAAGTCTGGTGTTTAGCATTGGTGAACATTCGCACTCGTTGAAGCACTACTTTACGAGCTTGTTCCAGTGCAAACGCACAACTTAAGTTCAAACTTTGATTCCCCTGCCCCCACATGAAGGCTGAGACCATGAGCTCTGAACACAAGCCTGCTGTCGGGTTCCATGCTAGTGAGAAACCTTTCAGGTGCTTTGGCTAAGTGGACGGGTCTTCTTTTTCAGGGTAGTGTAACATTCTTGTTGGGGGTTGTCCCAACAAGTTCAGTTGAAGATTGCCTTCAGAGCCGTACTCAGCTTCTTGCAATCTAGGTCTTGGATACGGCGATACCCTTCCTCCGGTTTGCCAGTTGTGTGTTTCTGAGCCTAACAGGACCCCATGAGCAAACCTGAGAGTATCCCTGCAAGGGCGGCGGGTCGTGAGACTTATGGATCCTTCTGATACCTGGAGTCTCCATGACCCCTAAAAAATGGGTCAAAGACCCCATTATTTTGGGTACTGACCAACCATTTTGTAAGGGTCATGGAGACTCCAGGTAGGCCATTTATCTTGTTGCCCTTGGCAGCACACTCGCACCTGAGAAGCCCGCCAACTTGCACGCCTGCTCAACCCAACCGATGCATGCAGAACAAGGAAAAGCATGCACTGGGTCCGAACACAGAATAAATCAGAGGCCTGATTTGTTGGTGGTTTGGATTGGGGTTCCGCGTTGCTGGGTCAATCTGGGTCACCTTGCCATGGCCAATCCAAGCAAATGATTCGCCCTAGAAACTGACTTTCTTCACCTTTCGCCTTCAGTTTTCCATGAATTTCCGACTCGAAAAAGCAAAAACGGATCCTTTTCAGGGACACTTCTCTCAAAAACAGCGTCGCGAGGACTTGGGCTGCGTTCTTGGCAATTGGATCATGGATCAAAGGCTGCCAAATATTTGTTTGTGAGTTATTTTGCCGCTGTTTGCTACTCAAAGTTGCGATAAGGAAAAACGACCGTTCCGGGTGTTGGGAATGAACCTCGGGATTCCCTCAAAGGAATCCCTTCGAAGATGGTTTCTAGGGGTCCTTCCATTTCTCCTGGCGATCGACCCAGCAAGTGGCCCAAGAGCTGCGCCTGGCGCAAAGACCCGGGCCGATGACGCTGACTCCTGGCTGCACGCTGCTTTTTCGGTCGGTGGCCAGGGATATGGGAATCCAGAGCGGGTAGTGCAGATCTTCGAATATGGGGGGGCGTTGGGGAATTTGGGGGTACCCCCAGAAAACCTTCCTGGGTTTTGGACATGTCCAAACTTGGATCCTGGCAAGCTGGGGCGATGCACCCAGACATGCCCCTGCGGAAGGTTGTCTGAAGGTTGACATGGGTTTGCCGCATTGCTAGTCAATTGCTTGACTGCAATTGGGCAACGGAACTTTGTCGACTTCAACTTTTTGGTTGAACTCAAGCAAGTTGAGTTTTCCGTACTAAACCCACCCAAAGTTGTTTTGCTTTAAGTTATACAAGAACTTTTTCCAGAGGGGTCGTTGCCACCCGGTGAAATTGGTTGATGCAGTCGACCGCCAAGTGGCCCTTGTGGCATCTTGTGGCGGTGCTATTGGCCCGACCTCTCAGCCCTTTGGTTGGCAGATTCGGTTTTTGCCTGGTAAGATAGAGAAACAGGACAAAAGTTGGGCCCAACTTATTCAAACCTCTCAAGTCTGGACCTAGGAAAGGTGGCCACTGAGTCATAACTAAAACCCGGGAAGATAGAAGGTTAGTAAGGGAGAATCCCAGCCAGAAATAGCTGCGGCCGCCTGCTTGTTCTTGGTCGACCCTCTTAATACCGGGTTTGGATTAAGAGGTGATTCAAAGATGAGCCCGGGTCGCGACAAAAACAATATCAAGCACAGGCTTCCGCCCAACGATCATTCACACAACCCAGAGGATGTGTTGGCTTCAAAGATTTTGACACATTCCCAAAGCCCCGAGAGGCTGTTGGTTGAGCAAGAAAAATCATCACTTCTCAGGATGCAAGGGATAAGGAAGGATAGACATGGATAGACCATGATCCAAAAATATTCTGGTGTGATCCGAGGACCATCACCAATGTGGCCAGCGGCGAGGTCATGGCAGTGTTTGGGTGCATTTGGAGCAACTGATTTGGCTGTGGCTCAAAAAAATGTACCCAAAATGGCCCCTTGGTAAATGGAAAGAGAGACTGAAACCTGCGTAACCCTGGCTCCTGAATTTTGAGCCACACCCATTGGGTACACCCTAGCGGCTACGAGGTTGGGTTGGTTACAACCAGACCGTGGTCTTTGTAAGGGGAAACCTGCGTGAGGATACTGACACACTGTCAGCTTGTTTTGTTGGGCGCTGGCCCAAGCCTCTCGACCCCTTGGAAGGGTTGCTCCTTTTCAGCTTTCTTGCAACTCAGACAGTTCATGATTTCAGACGCACTTGAATGGCACAATGCATGAGGCTGGCCAATGCACTGAACTGACAGTTGTTCCGATTGCCGCGTTGGTGAGCCCATGTTGAGTGTGCTTTGCAGAGATTCACCATCCACTGGTCAAGAGTCTAAGAATCCGGAGGCAAACCACCAGGCAATCTATGAAACATGAACCGCCAGAAGACTCAACCCTTGGTTTGACACATGCGCAATGCAAATGGATGATGCTAGGTCCCCCAATAGTGCCTTTTGACGCTTTGTTGGGGGAGGGTTCCACAGAAAAAAGGGTACCCTTATTCTAACCTCTCTACTGGAGGACCTAGGACGGCTTATGAAGCATCCGCAATCATTGGCAGGGCCGCTGCGAAGGTGTGAGTGAACGATGTGAAAAGCTGCGAAGCGGCTGGCCAGCCGCAAGAGTATCGTAGGAACATCTCCCTGCAGGGCAGTCCCTACTGTGGATGGACGAAATCCATTTCGCACCATTTAAGAGCCATGGGAAACCATTGTTTGTTGGTATTTACGTCGGGGAATCGAATCGTTCCAGGGGTTCTTAGGCGGTGCAGGATTTTGTCCATCCACAGTAGTTTCAGCAGAATCTTGACCCCAAATTCAGGAACTCGGCGATTTCGGATGGAACCCCCTTCCGTCAAGGGGTTGAATTGTTCAACACCGATGCACCATGGGGCGACTCGCTTGACCGTTAGCCCGCACATCCCCGTTAGCCCACACATCCCACCACGGATCATTCCTGGCTGCCTGCTGGCGTCCAATTTCATGGGGCGGTATGTGTCACCTAAGTGTTGTCTGTGAAGGAAAGCAGGCATCTGCGGGTCCAAACTCCAAACACTTCATTTTGTGTGATATGAGTACGTCACACGCTTACTCACATTGCGTGTTTGTTTGACGGGTTCACGCCACTTGGTTTGGAGGCATCCTTTCCGGGGCGACGCTCCGACTTGATCTTGAACCCAAAGTGGGAGCAACTGCTACTCAGATAAATTGAGACCCACATCCATCCATTTGGACCTGGAGTCTCCATGACCCTTTAGCAATGGGTCCATGACCCCAGTATTTCGGGTAATGGCTCTCATTTGTCAAAGGTCATGGAGACTTCAGGTGTTCGTAGAAAAGAGGGCCCCTTTTTAGTTTTCGGAGAGAACACCCAAGGAACCATCTCCATGAGGAATGGAATTTCAGCCAGGGGTTGATCCCTGGAGCCCCATTTCCGGAACCCTGCCCGCCAACCACCAACCCCCTAAAAACGACACCACACGCCCCCCACCATCAAGGCCTGGTTTGGCTCCAGCCAAATTTGGCCGGGCTTTTCGGGCTGGATTGATTTTGGGTGTGGGTCAAACGTAGTAGAGGGAACCAAAAGGAAACCGACGCCATTTTTGGCGGGTCCAACCTTAATAACACAAAAGACATGCCCATGTCGCTCGTAAATGGAAGGGGCTGGAGGACCTGCGGTCTGGTAAATTTTGACCACCCATATCCAATTACTACCTCTTTGGTCTGGAAAGGATCCAACAAATGCAACCCACTCGGTGAGCTAGCGCTAAAAGGGTCTGTGTATGGGTCACAAGCCCCCCAAAAAGCGAAGGCGAGTCTTTAAAACGAAGGCTTCCAGCACCCCCCCAATCGCTGGCAAATGGTCTGTGGAATGACCTCCCAATGGCTGTTTTGGGGTTATTTGCCAGCCACTGGAAAGTCCTGGTTGAGAGATATTCCAGTTTCGCGTGGAAGGGTCTTGGTGGCAGCTCAGGTGCTTTCTGAGCGCCCAAGCTCAGTGAAAGAGGCTGCGCTACAGCTGGCAAATGAGTTGGGCACGCCCCACCAGGCCTTTTCTTCCGCCTTCGAACTGCTGAGGTCATCTCCAAAACTTGCTGAGTCTCAGATCCTTTGGTAGACTTAATGTGTTTCTCAAGATGGAGGAACCTCTCCAGGTAGGTTTCCTTAGTGTCTGTTGCTCCCTAAAGCCGTCCAACAAGTGGTTCCCTTTTTGGAGACACAGCCATCGCAGAATCTGCGCATATTCTCTGAGCATTTTGCAGGTGCGCTGGACACAAAACAGATCTGGCTGCGACTCTTTAAGAACCACCTCAGAAGTGGTAGACTTGAATCCCAAAAACGCCGCCAAGTGGTCCCATGGTCGGTGTTTTTTTTTGGGGGGGGCTCATTTTATTTTGGTCAAAGGAATCCCAGCATCGGGGATCCCCTAAAGAAAAGACACACCAAAGGAGTCATCAATATCTGGTCTACCCAAATGCATATGGCTATGGGTCAAAACCCCGTACCCCCCAGTGAACATCCCCATCCCCACTAAAATAGACTAAAATGGGAGGTGCACCTATCCCAAAATGGGATCCCATTGGTTTTGACCCACAGCCATATAAGAAAAGGAAAAGGCGGAAATCTCCGGCCCTATTTCTGGGGTTTTCTTCCCCCGCTTTGATCTACCCGAAGCTTGGAGGCTATGGGCAGGTTTGCGGATGGACGAAATCCATTCACCTAAGAAAGCATGGTTGGTTGTTGGTATTTACAGGGGAATCAAATCCAATCAGTCCATGGGTTTCTTAGACAGCAATGAGCATCATAGGACCAGTGATTGGTGGACATATGAATCACACAACACAATGTTCAAAGGGTCCCTGATGAAAACAACAACAATCCGGACCAGCCCAATGGCTGGCAAATGGTCTGTGGACTGACCTCCCAAGGGCTGTTTCGGGGGTAATTGCCAGCCATTGGCATATGAATCACCCAGATTCTTGATGTCCAAACATTCCCTGATTAAAATAAGAGAAAACAATAAGCAGCAACAAAAACATCCGGACACATCGGATCTCGGATTGTGTCCAGGCCTTCAAGCTTCTAAGCTCCACGGGCGCGGTCTTGGAGGAGTCCGCGCTGATCGAGGAAGGGACCGCCGCGCTGCAGGCGGCGCGACTGCCGCTGCTGCGCCTCCCAGATCCGAGGGAGGGATGGAACTGGCCTAGGTCCCCAGCTGGGCGCCCTTTCTCACCCTTTTTTGGGGGAGGGTTCCCCTACTAAAATAGACTACAGAAAAAAGGGTACCCTTATAGGCATTTCGGCTCCACGGCTACTTGCCTCAGGGAGTTGTGCCCCCATGTGCCGGTGAAGCGTCCACCAAGCAGCTTGCCATGCTGCAGCACCGTTCTCTTGCCCCTGCTCGAATTTGCTGGCAACTGTTAGGGTGTGCTACGGTCTGGTGTGACTTTCCTATGTGTCGTGGCCATCTACCTCATCCTGGTGGGCAATTTCTTCTCCTTCGAGGTGACTGCTTTAGACTTTGCGCACGACGTTGTGCTGCTTTGGGGTCTTCCACTTGCCACGTTATGGGTAAGTGGCCAATCTCCTGGAGTGTATCTTTGTGGGTCAGGCTACCTCCTTGCAGGATTGTGTGCAGTTTTTGCGGCAGTTCAGCCTCCGTGCAGATCTCATAGCAGTTCTCTGATCTCATAGCAGGTGCGACTTCTACCCTTCCTGTGGCACCTTGGCTACTTCCAGTGCTGTCACTCTTTGCTGCAAGTGCTGTTTGCGCGCGTCAGAGCCTCCTCTACCAGGCGATTGTCCTTTCTTCGGCTCAGCAGTATACTTCGTGGTGCCCGTGAGGATCCCTTCCTGCCTTGCGTGCGCCAATCCCTGTTTTGGGGATTGGCTCTGTTCGGGTATAGCCCTATTCTTTGAACGCCTTCCGGTGAACGTGCTGCGTTGTGCTTGTCCCCGAGTTTGGATGCCTGGTCTCGGCCCGCTTTGCGTGGCGCTTTGTGCGGCCCTGTTTTTCCCAACTTGCTGGGAGGTTTGCGGATTTCGTCCTGTGCGCTCCTGACCATCTGGTTCAGCGAGCTATGGGCTTTCTTGGTTGCTCGGTTTCGTGGGGTGGCCACAAAGCTCCCCTGTGGTCACCGTCCGTTGTTGGAGCCTCGGCTCTTCTGTTTCACCCTTTGGGCTCTGTTGAGCCACTCGGTCCGTATCCTGCGCAACCGATCGAGGGAGCGCCACGTAAAAAAGGGTACGCTTATTCTAACCTTTCTACTGGAGACCTAGTGGCGGTCTCGCGCGCCGTTTTTTGGGAAGTGAGTTGTGTTTTTTCTTGAAAGCCACAATCCAAAGGTACCATGAAAAAGAGACACCCCCGGAGTGCGTTTGTGTGTTTGGCATGGTTGAGGTTTTTGGCCATGAAGGGCATGCCATTGGGCAATTCTGGGGGTGTCTCAAAGTACGGAACTTTGTTTTGCATGGTTTCAATAGACAAATTTGGAAATCAGTCACTTAGAGGGGTGCCCAATTTCGAGACACATGCATGGGCGACTGCTTCTTCCTACTTGAGTCCTACAATGCCCGCTGCCCCTCTGGGGTTTCCAACTCAAAAAGCTTGAAGCTCTTACTCCCATAGAGTTCCCGTCCGGGGTGTTGTTTTCCCCTCTTCGCACCCCCCAACCCCACACCCTTCAAAAGGGCACCGAAAGGAGGTTGTTCAAACAATAGCGGTTTAAATATTCCAAACAAACAAGGCTGGATCAGGCGAGGGGGGTTGAATCCTAGAAGTTCGGCTCTGAAGGTGGGTTGAATTCTGGTCGGAGACCAGGCCAGAGCGGCCAGGCTAGTAGCGGCTTAAATATGATAGAACAGGTGGTTGGCTCCAACATGCCCCGCCCCCAAATCTGCCCCAACATCCGAGGCATCTCGGTGAGGTGTCGGGTGATGTCGATGCAGTTCATCCCCGGTGAGAGCCAAGATCTGCTGCTGGTGACCCTCGGAAACTTAAAGCCTCAGGACGGGGGAAAAGTGAACGCAGGGCCATGTCTGCGATCCAAAGACCCGCAAAACCAGGGTCCTGCTTGATTTTGATCTTGGCTCCAAATGGATCGGCCAAAGGCCTGCTTTTCCAGGGTCGTGGAAGATCAAGGCATGTTTGTCAACCAGAACTTGGTGGCTCCCAGCCATCCGGTTCCTTAGTTTTTTAGCCATTTTTTGTTGCGTGGTACGTAGTTTCCATTTAACCCACTAAAAGTTAGACTTTTAGCGGAGGATCTGAGGGCAGCCCAGCAAAGAACCAGAACAACGCACCGAATTTCCCATTGAATTGGTCCACTTGGCATGATTTCTCTGTCGCCCTTGGTTCCTCACACATTGCAACCTAAATAACTGAGGTTCCACAACCGTGCACTGAACACTGAGACGGGTTTCGGCCCAACCAGGCGAGCACAGCCTGATAGGTTCCCTTTGAAAATCACCCCAAACAAATAACAACATGGCCACCTAGAAGCCCGTCTTCCGCCACGGTTTGGACCGTCCAGAATTCAATCAGCTTCGAGCCGGAGCTAAGCGGCGGGCCTTCACTGCCTTTCACCCAAACTTGATTGATTCATGGCGAGTGAACAGAATCCACTCGACACATGGCTTCACTAAACCCTGAGGGGTTGTTTTGCAATCCAGCACCAACCCGTGGGACCAGAGGCTCGGTTTTGATGCCGGACCTACCCATGTTGAGAAATCGGTTGATTCCCAAAGTCCATTTACAGAGCATCCGAGATTCGCCTCACGCGTTTCATGCCAGGACTTCTAGAGGGCTTCCAGGATTCTTTACCCCAAAAGGGCTGTCAGCTAAATGCCCTTCTTCTCCTCGCAGGAGGAAAAGCTTGACGTCTTGGGCACAGGGCTTAGATCCGAAAGTCGGCGTGTCAAGGCTCGAGAAGGAAGGGCTTTGTGCTGGTACCCCATGTTGTCGCCTTCTCTGCGCGAGTGCCTTCGAAGTCCGAGCAAAGCCTGTAGCAAACAAAGCCTTGGCAAGTTGTGCCGTGCCTTCCAAAAGAATCTGCGCTTGAAGCCGCAAAGGGTTTGAAGATTGCAGGTGGCATTGCACTTCTCGTCCACTTTTCGCAAAACCACAACTGTTTGTTTGCTTTTTTTCTTGTTTCCATGGTCAAGCAAATCTTTTTCGTATTCCCCTACCCCGCCAGTATTCTCCCGCATGAAAAGGGGTTTTGCCGGTCAAAGGCTGTTTGACCAGGACTCAACGGCCATATTTCTCGCTCCGCATGGCGCCACAAAGGGGAAGGAGGCCTCGGGGTAGATCTGATCCATCTTGGGCTGGCGCTCGAAGCGTTTCTTTCGGGGCTCCTGCGAGTCTACATTGTGAGAATACCTGGAGTCGCCCAAACGAACCCTCAAAACATTGGAGGCGAACCCCCCCCCCTCCCCGCAGGGTGGGCCCAAAGTGCCCAAGTGCCCGAAACAACCTCCGTCCGGGAGCTGGCAACTGGTCGCTGCTTTGCAGAGTCGCCCGTGTTTTCAAGGGACCGGTCCTTTGGTTTGATCGAAGCGGAGTCCATAATTTTGGTGGCTCTTTGGTTGTATTTTTGGACTTGAACTTTTTGAGAAACAATGGATTTTCCATTGGCCCCGCAAAACGTCGAGTTGCTTTTTTCAGAGAGGTCAACAGCAACCAAGTTATATGGTTGGTTTTTTCAGACATTTGCAAAAACTCCTTCAATATCCGAAAGCTGTGTCGAGACTTTGCCTTCAAATGCCCCATCGCCGCCTTTTTGAAGAGACAAGTTTGTTTTTCGTCACCGATGGTTTGGTTCATCAGCTCCCCTCTAATCAGTGGGTCGAATTGGTGTGGGATTTTTTTTATGCCCTGAGCCTTGAAGGTTACATGGGAAATCCCAAACCACCAAACCACCGTTTTGGCTCCAAACCACCGATCTTGGTTCCCAGCCATCCGGTTCCCTGGCTTTTGAGCCTTTTATATAGAGTTTAGTCTAGTGGAGGTTCCATTTAACTGGCTAAAAGTTGTTGTTGTTGTTGTTTTGCAGGGATCAGTTCTTCGGCCGAGTTCAGGTGCCGACGACGGCCCGGAGAGCAGCATGTGGTTCTGGCGCCTGTTCGGGCCATCGTACTGCCCATCGAAGGCCCAACTGATTGCCCGCACCGCGGCCGCGAATCGTTCAGAGCCCATGGCGGTTCGGAACCGACGAATCGCTCCGAGTTCATTCGACTTCAAACGCTTTAGGAAGATCATTTTCGTGGTAGATAAAAAGTTTGGACTTTTGTTGGGCAGTTCACCTAGGAAGTGAGCTTAGGTTGCTTAGGTATTTGGTTGGTGGTTGGGTTTCCATTTCAGCCACTACAAGTTCTATTTTTTGGCAGGGGATTAGCCCAGCTGAAGTTGTTTTCTCGAGGCGAGAAGGGGGTGCTTAGCTTCGATGTTAGAGTCTTTTTTCAGCACCCAGGGCAAGTATTGGTCGGAGGTCTTTGAGGCACGCACAGCATAATGTATATATATATATATATATTAATGTATACATACATATAATAGTCAGAGCACATGTTGCCATCCTCAGCCCTTGGGGCTCTTGAATTTATGTGGGTTCATGCATTGAAGCGTTGGAGGGGGGTGCTGAATTACCTGCAATTCTTGGCAACGGGGTTGGAGTATTTGATTTTACCAGACCGTCTATGTCGCACGGGTGGTTTGTGAGGTGCCTGAATTAGGTTCAGAAGGTAGACCCAGATGGCCCGAACGTCCGAGTGGGTCCAGCAGCCGAGTTGGTCCCAGTTTTCTGGCTTTAAGAGCGGGCCCCTTTGTTTTGGGCGTGGAATTTTCGCAGCAAACTACCGACAAACATTCGCAGCTCTTTTTTTTAATTAAACAATGTTCTTAGGTACGGCGCATGCAATGCTCACAGCTACTGGGCTAGTGAGTCTTACAGCCGGGCACGTAAAATGAGGGTCCAGCCGTGCATGGCCGTGCTTCGACGCCGTGAGGCCGGTGGCTCACAAGCAACACGACTTCCATTGGTCCGTGGTATTTTGTGTCACCCAATTGCCGCGGATTTGGTGCCAGTTACCCGCACAGATGAGTTGCGGGTCCGTTTTCCATTGGCCTTGGCGGCCTTGGTGTTGAGACTTCTTTCTTGGGTCCAGGTCCTTTGAGATGGGTGAGTTCTTGCAATGTTTCTTGAAGGTTTTCGAAGCTCCGAAATGCATTGTCACGCAGGAACCCGCTGCGAGCCGCAGTATTTCAGGGGGGTAGCAGTTGATACGTCCATGGTCAAAACTCTCCTTTTGTTCGCCATGTTTGCAGAATGTGCGCTGAATGGCAAGCGACCAGCCAAGGTAAGATGTGTGCAAGAACAGGTTGGCGAGACGGATTGCCACCTGGCAAGGAAGCAAATGCAAGCACTGCTAGCAGACAAAGTCCGGCAGAGCCGCGGGGCGGAAGTTTCCAAAATATAAGAAGTACATCTTGGAGCATGCTTGTGTTGCCCTTCTCTCTCTCTCCATCTTTCTCTTTCTTCCAATTCTCTTTTTTTTCTGCTCTCTTTAGCTTGCTCGTTGGTTTTCCCTCTATCAGTGTCTTCTATCTGTATCTTTCTTTTCTTCTTTCTCCTTCTCGTTTGCTCTTTTTTTCTCAGTCTCTGTTTCTCTTAATGTTTATCTTTCTGTTTCTTATCATTTATTTTTATCCTTACATTCCTCTGTGTTTGTGTCTGTCTCTGTTTATGTTCCCTTTATCTGTTTGTGTACCCTCTTCTTTCTTATTGTCTCTATGTTTTTATTTCTCTGTTTCTTTCTCTCTTCTTGTTTCTCTAGCATCTAATTGTTCCCTTTCTTCTTCCCGGTAGCTTTATCTATCTCGTTCTCGTTTGCTTCTTGTGTCACTTCTTGTTTATTGTTACCCTTATCTTTGTCTTATCTGTATATGTTATCTTTCTCTGTATCTTCTTGTTTGTCCTTTATCCTTCTCTTCACTGTTCTCTTTTGCCTAGTCTCTGTTTCTTATATATTTCTCTTTCTGTTCCAATTCTTCCTTATCCATTCCTTTCGCCTTTTTATTCATTCCCTTTCCTGTTGTTCGTGCTCTCTATCTCTCTTCCCTTTGGCGTTCGGCCCGTCATGTTTATCTGTCTTGTTACTTTATCTGTCCGTGTTTCTTTTGAAGATCAGCCTTTTTCTTTGTATCTGTTTATTGTGTTTTTTGTTTAAACAAAACAAATGTGTCTTGTGTTTTTTTTGCTGTCTTCTTTTGTCTCCTTCTCTTTAATGTCATCTTTTCTCTTGATCTATTTCTTCTTCTTTTTTCTGTCTCTCTCTCTCTCCCTCTCCCCCAGCCCACGAAAGTGAATACGTGCAAAGCATCAGCGAGCTTTTTGAGGCGGACCCCCACAAAGTCCGTCGAGGGTACACCTGTTGATCGTCGCCCGGGCCAAAACTCACTAAACAATACAAGTTGTTTGAGGTCGACCCCTCGAAAGTCCGCAGAGGGCTGCGCGAGCGAAGTGAGCTGTGCCAGTGGGCCCGTCTCTGAACCCTTTCCAAACGCGATCCAGGCCCGCTCGCGACCGGGTAGAAGTTCCTTCTAAATTCCAGATTTGCTGATTAAAGACTACTGGAAAAAGGTTCGGTGAAAGTAGATGGGATGATTCCCCAATGTCGGTTCAAAACTGCAAATTCCTCCCCCCCATGTTGGCGACTTCTTCCCCTTTACTTACCCACAAAGGTCTGTGTCTCTACCTTTGATGTACATGCCCTTTCACAAGAAAACAAGGTGAACATGTTGAAATGGACACCTTGGAAGGAAACCGCCTGGACAACACATTGTAAATGAAACAAACACAACATATAACTCAAACACAGGTAAGCACTCGCAGGATCTCTCAGAGCAATCGGATTCTGCTGTGATGGGTATAGCACTGCATAGCCTGTTTTGTTGATTTCTGGAATGGCAGCCCTTGAGACTATGAAAGAGTTAGTCTTGGCAAAGAAGTTGCAACGGCCATGGTAATTATATTTACAGTTTTGTGTTTCTTGAATTTTGGGCGGAATGGGACGTCTTTGATCGGCGGGCCTTGGGGGGGGCGGGGGGAGCAAACGTTTTAAGCCAAACCTTTGGCTCCCTTTAAAGAAGCGTTGGCTGGCAGTCGGCTGGGAAACTGGGAGTCTTTAATCAGAGGGGGTTTATCAATCATAATTAAACATTAGTTTGTGAAGATATGAGAAAATCGAAGCAAACCTTGCCAGCCAGATACAAAGATGGATACCAGCGCTGATCAATAATCTGTCAACCAAACTTTGGTGCCCAACAGTTGGGCGCCAAAGCTGGCCTGAAAAATCAATTTACTTTACTTCGAGTGATCCCCACCTTTGCAAGGTCAGGTGCAGATGTCGTGGCAGGCGCAGCACTTTCGCAGGGTCAGGTACAAATTCTTGGCAGGCGCAGCACTTTTGCAAGGTCAGGTACAGATTTCGTCGCAGGCGCAGCACTTTCGCAGGGTCAGGGCCAGATTTCGTGGCAGGCGCAGCACTTTCGCAGGGTCAGGTCCAGATTTCGTGGCAGGCGCAGCACGTTCGCAGGGTCAGGTCCAGATTTCGTGGCAGGCGCAGCACTTTTGCAAGGTCGGGTACAGATTTCGTCGCAGGCACAGCACTTTCGCAGGGTCAGGACCAGATTTCGTGGCAGGCGCAGCACTTTCGCAGGGTCAGGTACAGATGATGATTAAAATGATGAGAATACACATGATGAATGATAATGACAATGATGATGAGAGTGATAAAGAATGTGAATGAGGATTGTGAAAATGAGTTGAAAGAACGATGATGAACACGATGGCAAGGGTCCTGGCCAATTGGCCAGTCCTCTCAAGCCCTGGACTGTCTGGCCGCTAGGACGGCAGGTTTATTTTGGAGGCTGGAGAGGATTAATCAGAGGGGGCTTGTGTTCTTCGGGGGGGGTCTTGTCAAGCCTGCTCTTTTCACTAATTGTAATAAGAAATGTGGTGTAGCCCAACAGGGGATTTTTCATGGTTCCCCACCTCCCAGGTGAGGGTCTCTACATTTTATCTCAGCATTCCAACTTCCTCTCCCTCCTCTCCCTCACCCTCCTCCTCCTCCTGCTGCTCGTCCCCTTCCTCCTTTTCCTCCGCTTCTCCCTGCTGTGCCTCATGTGCTTACGGTCCTCCTTTACTTCCTACACCGGGGCTGGCTGCGGAGTGTGCTGCGCTGGACTTTTCGAAGGGCTCACTGCGGAGTGTGCTGGACTTTTCGCGGGGCTGGCTGCTTCATCTGTTATCATCATTGTCATCATCATGTTCGCATTATGTGCGCCATCATGTTCATCATCATGCGCTTTATTGTTTTGTCATTATTTTTTCATCATCGTGTTCATCATCATGTTACATCATGTTCATCATCATGTTCATCATCATCTTCATCATCATTCATCAATTTCATCATTCATTATGTTTGGTTTGTCATCATGTTCATCATCCATGTCATCAGCATTTATAATTTGTATCATCATCTCATCATGTTCATCATCATTCATCATACTTATGATCAGTTTCATCATTTTCACCATCGCGTTCATCATCGTTGTTTGAAATCGGTTTCATCATTGTCAGCCCCGCAAGCAAGTTCAGACATGAGAAAACAATCTCCCCCCCATTGAGCATGTTCGGAAAGAAGTCAATCGATTGAGAAGCTGTCGGCCGAGGCAACGGCTTTGGGACCAGGCGCGATGGTGTGCCGCTGGTCGTGTCTCTGAAGATTCGGCTTTCCTGTAAAAAAAGCAAAACAAATGGCTGCGACTCAACAACTAGAGGACGATTGGCCCGAAAGCATTTTTCCCCAGGTGCTCATCCAGCCGCGGAGACACCTTTTTACATCGCTGCGGCGAGCGTGTCCGCGCGCGGCGATGCTCAATGCGTATGGTCACATGAGAGCTCCATCTCATCGTCCTACGAGAGGAAACATGGCAGTGCTCGATCCCACATATTTACATCCGTTAAAACAAGCAGAGTAAAGCTCGTAAAGCTCGAAACGAATTACAAGCAAAAGGAAGAGCAATCAATAGCAAAGCTTACACGACGGCCACAGTTTCTGCAAAGCACGCTCGCGCAACTTAGCTCTGTGCAAGATGGCTCTGCGCAGCTTGGCTCTGTGAAAGTTGGGTCTACGCAAGCTACTTTTTGCGAGTGGCTCTGCGCAACTGGCTCTGTGCAAGTTGGCTCTGCGCGAGTCTGCTCGGCGCAATGTGCTTTGCACGAACTGCGCCGCGCGATTTCTCACGAAAGTGGTCTGCGCAAGCTGCATCGTTCCAGGCTGCTGCGCGCAAGTTCCTCTCTGCAAGCTGCTGCACGCAAGCGCTCTATGCAAGTTGCTCTGCGCAAGTGCTCTGAGCAAGTTGCTCTGCGCAAGTGCTTTGTGCAAGTGCTCTGTGCAAGTTGCTCTGCGCAAGTTGCTCTGCGCAAGTTGCTCTGAGCAAGTGCTGCCGGAGCTGTGGGAATGTACTTCGCGTACTATTTTTTGTACTTAAAAGTTGTGATTTTCCAGCCGGAGCTGCGGGAGTGTGCTCCGCGTACTACGTTTGTACTTAAAAGTTGCGATTTTCCAGCCGGAGCTGCGGGAGCACGCTCCGCATACTACGTCTGTACTTAAAAGTTGCGATTTTCCAGCCGGAGCTGCAGGAGCACGCTCCGCGTACTACGTTTGTACTTAAAAGCTGCGATTTTCAAGCCGGAGCTGCCGCGGACCAGGGGGGAATCGAACCCGGGACCGCGGGATTGCGAAAGCAGGCGCGCACACCACGAGACAACTTCCAAAAGCCGTTTCGCGAGCAAGAAAATCGCACGGCGCCACAGCGAGAGCGCTTCGACACGCACGATCTCCGCAGAGGGTTCATCGGGCTCAAGACAGATGCGCACGGCGCCACAGCGAGAGCGATCCGACACGCACGATCCCCGCAGAGGGTTCGCCGGGCTCAAGACAAATTCGCACGGCGCCACAGCGAGAGCGCTTCGACACGCAGGATCTCCGCAGAGGGTTCGCCAAGGTCAAGACAAATTCGCACGGCGCCACAGCGAGAGCGCTTCGACACGCACGATCTCCGCAGAGGGTTCGCCGGTCAAGACAAATTCGCACGGCGCCACAGCGAGAGCGCTTCGACACGCACGATCTCCGCAGAGGGTTCGCCGGCTCAAGACAAATTCGCACGGCGCCACAGCGAGAGCGCTTCGACACGCACGATCTCCGCAGAGGGTTCGCCGCGCTCAAGACAAATTCGCACGGCGCCACAGCGAGAGCGCTTCGACACGCACACGGCGCCACAGCGAGACAGCGCTTCGAACGCACGGCGCCATCTCACGCAGAGGGGTGCGTTTCGTAAGCTCCTGTCGGGCCTACCCCCGCCAGAAAAAGAAGAAGAATTAAGAGTCGAGAAGTGAAGGTAGAACAGAAAAGTTAGCTTGTGTTTTTAGGATAGTGAAGTAACACCCGACAAATTAGCTTGTGCTTTTAGTAGAATGAGATAACAGCCGAAAAGTTGCATGAGAAGTTGGCAGGTGAAGTAACTCTCTGAGAAGGGCAGGTGAAGTAACTCTCGACAAGTTGGCATGAGAAGTTGGCAGGTGAAGTAACTCTCGACAAGTTGGCATGAGAAGTTGGCAGGTGAAGTAACTCTCGACAAGTTGGCATGAGAAGTTGGCAGGTGAAGTTGGCAGCCGCTTTTAGAAGAAGAACCCTTCGCAATGCTTCCGGGAAAAACAATCCCCAAAATGTCACCTTGCCAAAAAACCTGCATAACCCCAGATTCTTTCTTGTGTTTTCGCCACACCCACATGTCGACCCATTGGCTTTCCAGAGAGGTACCGCCGGGCTTCGGAGGGATCGGTTTGTGGGTGTTTCCGTTCATGAGATCGACTGTGGACCTGAATGGGTTACTGGCCCTTCGGGACTGTGTCAAATCGTAGGGGGTTTCATATTGGTCCCAACAATAAAGCGAAAAGGCCCTACTTTCACAACGTCTCCACGTACTTTAAAGCTGGGTATTTCATTTCTGAGTTAGGAACGGGTGGTCCCTTTTCGGCTACCTTGATTACGAGGGCCGTGCGTTCCACGCCAGCGGGTCTTGGCATGGGACGCCGCGGAGCCGAGCCTCAGCGGGGGTCTTTCTTTCTTTTTTTCGGAGTCTCGCTTGTCCTAAATCTGGATGTTCGAAACAAAGCTATTGTGATTCTGCGATGCTGGGCTACACCTTGCTTCCAAGCATGTGACACTTTAGAAAAAGGAGTCAATTTGATAGTCCCAAGTTTCCCCCCTTTCCAACAACCCTGACAGAGAGAGAGGGAGAGAGGAAGCCTCTGCACACGCACAGCCCGGGGTAACAACCCTGATTGGGGAGACGTGTGGGTATTCTGAAAGTGTAAGATCTCTTTTGGAGGTATGCCGAAGGTGCTCGAGCAAAGTATCAAACATAACTTCCCCCTATCAAATGCGCAAGCGCTATCCAGCTTTGGATCCTCAGGGCTAACGTATCACAGAACTCACTGCCTGAGAAATCGGTTTCGGACTTTCGTCACTTTTGGGGGTTGGACCATTTTAGTTGTGGACTTTTTCAAGTTCAGTTTCCCATTTGCCCTCTACAAGACCAGGCATTCAAAGCCAAATCCAAACCATTAATTGGTGGGAACTGCTGTGATACAAGGGAATCTCCCGGGGGGGGGGGGGTAGTCCTTGGGAAGCCCCTTTTGTGGTATCACAGAGGTGGTCATGTCCCACAACTCTGGAAGAAAGTGGCTGTGACTTCTCAGTACTTTTCCACCTGAAAAATCAGCCCCAGGAGGCGGATCGTACAGACGTCTGGTCAGCGGAGGAGATCAAGGACCGTGTTTGAAAACGGCGTTCCATAGCTTCCATTTGCTTAAGGATGTTTATTGGTTTCCCTTGTTTGGTTTTGAAGGGAATCTATTACTGGAAATAGTTGCTCAAGAGTATGTTTCCCTTTTGGTGTTGAACGGAATCCATTACTGGACATATTTGCCTAAGGGTATTTTCCCTGTTGGTTTTAATGACAACCTACGGGAAACAGTTGCTTCAGGGTATGTTTCCTGTTTGGTATCAAAGGGAGTCTATCACTGGAAATGTCGGGGGCTTCAGAAAATGGAAGTATCGTCACAACAGATCGGGGCCGATGGCCTACCCGGAAACTGGAGATTTATAGTCACCATCCGACACTGGCTGAGCTGTTCCTAGCCATGAAACCCATGTCTCATATAGAATCATATCGCTCGAAAGGATTGATTTAAACATCACTGGCTGGAAAGGCAACTTTGAAGTGAGTTCCCTTGGTTGGCGTCAGGGGGAAAGAACGGAGTACCTCTAAAGTGTCGTGTTTAGCCGGATCTAGGCTCACATTGCAATCCTACATGGTATCACCGAATTCCTATTTAACCACAGGAGATGTGTGTGACTTCTTCTTTGTTTCCTACTGGTTTCCATACGGCTTGGGTTGCATTTTCAAGAATCCGCCTGACCATAATCCAAAGATCTGCGATGTGAATGGCTCAGTTGAATGCTTGCCAAGATGTTGTGGGGGACATTCAAGACGCTTGTTTCCACCCAACCTTCCAAACATAGGCTCATGGCATAGGAAAGAAACCCTCATGTTTGAGCCAAGAAGCCAACCAGAAAAAGAACACATGAGCTGTTACACCCATCCGTTTTCATTCAATTGTTCCCACTGCTTTAGCCGATCGATTATTCTTTCCTTTGTTACCGTAGGCTAGTCGCTCTTACTTAGGCCCTAGGCCGTACTTGACAGTCAACCAACCATTCAACTAGGGGTTGACATGGGTTTGTCTGGGAACCCCCCAAGCTTACGTTTGGATTCCCTGAACAAAGTGTACGCCTCGAAAAGAGGACAGCATATGTGGCTTCATGTGACAAAGTGGCACCCTTTGCTCTTCTTGCAGGAGGTAGAGGAGACGGGCAATGTGATGTGGCCGAACAAGGCGCGACTTCTATCTACAGACATGTTTACTTTGGATACATCCGAAACGCCCAACTGATTTATTCGGAAGTGTCCAGCTAAAACAACGCCAGCTGCTCAGGGACACCGGTTTGTCTGCTTGGTTCCCACAAAAGCAACATGGTCCACCCGGTTTCCCTGTTCCACCAGGGGTAGGCAACTAGACTCCTCATCCGGAGGGATTCATTCGAATTCAGAAGTGGGGGTTGACGATGCCCTGCGTGAAACAGAAAAACCTGCTCCTGGTGTTACGGCAGAAATCCCTCAATGAAGGGCAGACGGCAACGACATGTAGGTGTGCCTTAAGATAGGGGGACCCTCGAGATGTTGGTTCTCCTTTTGGTTTCCTCTTAAACCCACTCAGAAAGGGGCACCTCAAGAAAAGGGAAATCCATTTGTATCCATTGTGTTGACTGCACTGGGCACCCCCAAAGCCGCTTTTGCAAAAAATAATAATTTATTTTCAGACTTGTTTTCCCACTTTTCAAGAAAAGGGGGTCCCCCCCTGTAAGAGGGCATTCACACTTCCATCCCCCCCCATTGTTTTGCTACAGGAGGCCAAGCAACAGCATCTTCTAGGCTCGTCTGTTCGAAAGAGCCCTTCCGGTGGGTTCCACGGTGGGGAAGAGGCAATGCAAGAAAAAGTCGTTCAGTGTGCCGCTAGCTGGAGTCTCCTTCTGACCCTTTAAGAATGGGTCCATGACGCCATTTTGGGTCATGACCAACCATTTTTTTAGGGTCATGGAGACTCCAGGCAGTTCTTCCTGTTTCTTTGGTGTCAACCCCAAACAGATATGGTCCATGGTTCCCTTACAAGTGTCACTGAGCTGGGATGTGCTGTTGCACCTCGAACTCCCTGTGTCCAGCCCTTGTCCGTACTCGACTTCCAAGCTTGCTGACGCTGGCGCAGCTTTTAGTTGCGAAAGAGAACCAAGGGGAACCGCCCTTTTATGTTGATACATGCAGATGGCTTGGGATACATGCAGATGAATCCCAAGTCAAGATTGGTGCTGCCCCATTTTCGGAAGCTTTGCTTGCTGATCTCCAATCGATTTCGTTCGTTTTGGGGCGCTCTCGATCCAAAGTCGCTTCCCGAGTTCAACGGTTATGTCGACACCTTCATGTCGGTCCATGACGAGTCCTTCGCGGCTCCTTGGTTCCGAAGACATGGCTGTGGTCGACCGGTTCCTTTGCGGTGAAAATGGGATGAACATCCACTTAGGATCCTTGACAACTACGAAAAAAAAAAACATGACCATAGCCCATAGGAGTTTTGAACATGGCTCGTGCAACGCCGGGTAATTCTCCCTGGCCTCTCCTGTCTTCGATTCTCCGCTGATGAGGGACTTTCCACAGACGGTTAATGATGACCAATGAGAGGTCTTCATAGTTTTTATTGGAAACCAGAAAGAGGTTGAGAAAAGAACTGATCGACCTGTTTCTGCCATCGGGGGGGTCCGTGAATCTCGGAGCTTTGGGTTATGATTTCCGTTGATCGAGATCTTTGGATCGATGCTTACCTGTGCCCAGGCTTGGTTGCTTCTTTTTTGGCGAATGCTGTCCAAGTCGTGGTCATCGTCATGGTCGCGCTGGAATGACCCCCCAATGACTGGCAAATGGTCTGTGGAATGACCTCCCAATATCTGTTTTTGGGTTATCTGCTATTGGGGGGTCCTGAGTGACAACGTTTGGTTTGGTCAATTGTCGTCATCGTCCCGGGGCCGCAAGACTTGCACCGGCCACTGGCACTCACGGAGGTCCGAAAACCCAGTAAAAGCCCACCAGTGGGTCAAAAGCATACCCGGTAGCCATGTCTTCTGGACCTTGACTGATGGTGTTACAACCCTTTCAACACTCGTGTCGTTGCAAACCCACATGTTTGTACACCTATGCCGGGTAGAGGCAAGATGAGTAGGTGGTACTTAACATACAATTGGTGGCAGGAACATCAGGCGAAACCTCAGGTGAGTCACTGGAAGTCGAGGTCTTCTCTTGGAATCAGAACGACTACCTTGGGGGCTGCGCCAACTTGGAACAGCTGAATCTGAAGACGGGCGAGGCGACACCGCCGGATCCGTTGATCGAAGCAGTCGAGAGGCTCCCAAAACGAAACCGTCGAGCGCTAGTCTTTCCGGGGGAAGATTCACGGAAGTCAGACTTGGTAAAAGGGCACAGGTCTCCTTTAGGTGGAGGCGCTTTGTGCACTTTCATGTTGGTTTGAAACGGTGACCAGAGCCCCCCCCATCCTTGCTCTCCTGCAAAAGTCTTTCAGGCTGTAAAGCTAGCAGCTAGCATCTTATCCTGGACCTTCATTTTTCTTTGGGCTTGTCCTCTTTTTTGGACCTCGAGCAGTTTTTGGAGGCATGAGGGCTATCAGGTCCTAATATATGACCTACTCGAGCAGAACTTGTGTGCAAAAACGCCCGCAACGGCCCGCAAAACGAGCGCAAAAACCCGCAAACTAGCGCAAATTTGAAAAGTGCTCAATTGAAAATGTAAACCTCGGGCACTTTACCATTGCTCGGGCAGAAATTGAAGAATCGGGCACAAACTGTGTGTTCGAGCAGAACAAAAAGCGAGCCAAAAAAAGGTATCAATGGAAGGTCCAGGATATTTTGGACTTTGGGGGGCGAGGTGGTCGAGGGAAGCGAATCCTGTGATCGGAGATAGCCTGTCTTGTCTTGTGATCAATGACACAAGTGGCGAAAGCAGGAGGATCGCGAATCCAGACCGTTTGGCTGTGAGCCAAAAAAATGTAATGCCCAAATGTGTCAAAGCAAACAACTGCGTCGGCCATCGAATTTATCTCATAGACACACAGAGACACTTTGAATAGCCTGTGACATGCCCGACAAATGATGTATATGGCTATCAGGAAAGACAGTTGACAGAACGTTGGGCGAAATTACGCCTTTGCTTTCAGAATTTGGGCACTTCTTTTTTGTTTGCGGTGTTTCCTCAGGACCGGAGAGTGGTTTAAGACGCATAGCCAGCAAAGGAGCATCCTGGAGTTCAGATCAAGCCGCGCAGAGCAGCGCTAAACACTTTCTCTGGCACCGACGCTTGTTTCTGCGCACGTATTGGGATGATATGAGGTGAGTAGTTGATAATGCCGATCTTGAAATGCCGGTGTTGCGTAGACTTTGGCAGAGAGAATGTTAGAATCAACGCACGTGTCCCGTGAATGACTGTACAATGAGTTCGCCAACGGTGGGACTTCCACCCAAGTGGTTTGGCACGAGCGAAGCAAAAGGGTTGCATCCCACTAGGTATCCAGCAACATACTGAATACACTGTGTCTGCTTGCGAGGGTCAAAAACGACGAAGCCAGCTTTGTTTGATTTGCCGCACATGAAAGCCAGAAGGGGCATTTTTCGCAGCTTCCTCTCTCAATCCGGGTCAATCGGCCTTGGAGGTGACCTGGTTGACCAGCGGCTGGGACTGCTGGGATATGACCACGGATGAAGCTGGGACACTCTTCTACATCAGCTGCTACGACGGCACGGCAGCTTGAAGCCAAGCGCCCCAAAATGCCTCCGGGCCTCTTCTCACGGCACTCAAAGCTGCTCCAAACAGGGCTTGAAAATAATTCCCCTTGAAGCATAAGCCTTCTTAAAGGAAACTCACTCGGCCGACAAGATGGTGTTTAAACCAATCCGAATGGACAATGTAGGGAACCCTGGCATGTGCGAGTCCAGGCGCCCTGTCTGAAGATGTTAGGTCGAGCCCTTCGCGCTCCATGCGTAGGTTCTTCGTTCAGTCCAGAGCCAGCAAAACCTAACGACTCATAGGAAGGATAAAACATGTGCGCTTGTCTAGGTGCATTCAGGGAGAGACATGGCGTGTTTGCCTACCTTTCTGGAGTCGGTGCCCGCCACAAGAGACCAAGGCAAGGAAAGCAATGCAACCACAAGGCATTGGAACCTGCAGGGCTGTTTACTAACCCCTAACGTTGATTCCATATTAAGCAGCCCCAGTTTATTCACAGAGGTTCCCCCCAACTTAGTGATGATTCCCCACCAAACCTGGGGACATCCCCCAAAAAAAGTAAACCGGGGTTGATTAATATGGGGTCAACCTTACTTTGAAACAGCTTATCTTTCATATGTTGGACGGATTTGCGCATGGAGACGTGTCATGTTCACTCCAAGGACATCCACAGAATACAGGACTGCTCGCCTGGCACCTTGGGCGAAAGACCAAGGCTGAATTTGGCCTTGGTGAGGCTAGGGCTTGTGTTTGTGACTCAGTAAGACATGCTGTGGATCATGTCCCAGCGGGAACCTGTCTTCTTTTGCATTGACAATGCATACAATTGCGCAAGTCCATCCTTCAGGGTCAACGCAGTTCCCACTGACAGCCTCTTGCTTTGTCACTTCGGCCAATAGGTGCAGTTCGGGCACCGGGCACCTAAGACCCCGCAAGTTTGGGTGGAAGACCGCCTTCTTGAGAAATGGTTTTTGCCCCTCATGGCTCGGGGACGACTTGGGAAACAGACGCACTGCGCGTCGCAGTGTGTTTGTGCGTTTGCTTTTTGTGTCTGTGCGTCTGTGTCTTTGTGTCTGTGTGCTCATATGTCTCTGTGCGTGTGGTTGTCTGTGTGTCTGCGTGTGTCTCTGTTTTGTTTTTGTCTTTTGTGTCTGTGTGTGTGTGTGTGTTTGTGTGTGCGTGCTTGTCTGTTTGCGTGCCTGTGTGCGTGTGTGTGTGTGTGTGCGATGTGTGTCTGTGTGTGTGTATGTTGTTTGTTTTGTTGTTGGCGTGTGCTTGTGTGTGTGTGTGTCTATGTGTCTGGGTTTGTCTCTTTGTCATGTGTTGCGTTGCTTCACAAGGGAGAAGGTGGGACCTTGGCGAATCACACCCCCGAAGCATTCCCCGAATCATACCCCTGCAAAAGAGATGCTACTCTTCTTCTACCGGTCGTGTTGTTTACAGTCTTTACACACCAGCCACCACTGCTAATACTGCTGCTTCTTGTGCTTCTACTACTACTACTACTACTACTACTACTACTACTACTACTACTACTACGCACAGTAGTACTACTGCTACTGCTCCTACCACAACTTAGTTCTACTACTGCTACTACTCCTACTACAACTTAGTACTACTACTTGTTCTACTAGTACAACTCACTACTGACACTGCGACTACTGCTACTGCTACTGCGACTTCTACGGCCACTGCTACTACTGCTGCTGCTGGAGCGAATCATACCCCCGAATCCGATCCCGAATCATACCCCCGAAGCATACCCGCGAATCATACTCCACACTCAAACTTTCCTGCGCGGCCACCATAACAAATGCAAACCCGTATGTGTGCATGTGTGTGTGTGTGTTTCTGTTGATCTGTCTGAGTCCGTGTGTGTGTGTGTGTCTCTATTTGTTGCGTGCGTGCGTGCGTGCGTGCGTGCGTGCGTGCGTTTGTGTGCATGTGTGTGTGTGTCTCTGTATTTGAGTGTCTGTGTGTGTGTGTGTCTGTCTGTCTGCCTGTCTGTCTGTCTGTCTGTCTGTCTGTCCGTCCTGCAGGACGCACGGGTTCAACAGCCAGCGACTGAAAGGACCGAGACGCAGATCGTCTCTCAAGCAGCCACCCGTCTCAAGCCAATGTCTATGCTGCACATAGCCCGACCCAAGGCTCAGTTGTCGACTTCCAGGGACCACTCTCATAGACTTCCGAAGTGCCCATGTTGTGAGGAATTAGAGGAACACGATAGGTTTAGATATGGGGATGTCTTTTTAGGGCACCCCCCGCCAAAAACTAGACCACGGTGGGCCCGAAAGCATCACAGCCCCGTGATCGTTCCCGCGCAAGTTTCTTGCTTGATGTGCAATCTGTCAGCTGCAAACAGCCATCAGCTACAGCAAGAGGAGCACTTCACTTTCGAGGGCGTTTCCTCTACAAGAGGGGCGCTTCACTTTCGCTTGTTGCTTGCGACCTCCGGCTTCGCGGCGAGCAGGCCCCAGACCATGTCCTTCTCTTCCGTGAGCGCGACAGTCCGAGCCCGGAGATGCGTCGCGTGCAAAGTAAATGAATGTGAAATGATGGGGCGCAGTACTTTTCCAGCAGCTGCCTAACAACCCTTGCTTGTGTTACGGGCTCAGTGCAATGACAGCTATGACATGCAAACACAGTGTTTTCCCGGGCGCCTATGACTATCTCCGCTGAAGTCTCAGTCGGCAGCCATTGGAGTTCGGCACGACAGCGTCCGTCCGGGCGGCGCAGTCTCTCAGCTACAAACAGCAATTATAGGTACACCAAGAGGAGCACTTCACTTTCGAAGGCGTTTCCTCTAGCAAGAAACCCACCGCTCGCTTGTTGCCCTCGACCTCCGGCTGAGCGTCGAGCAGGCTCCAGACCATGTCCTTCTCTTCCGTGAAAGTCCGAGCCACATTTTCAGGCGCTCGAGCCATACATTCCACATGCAAGGTCATCATGTTCGTGTCACAGTCCTGCAGCACGCGGCCGAACCAACAGGTGCGGAGGGCCATCCGCCATGCTGAAGAGGTGGCAGCTCTTGAAGCGGCTTGGAATTATTGAATAATTATTGATGTCTGGATAAGGAAACACCTCTTGGTGGCAAGTGACAAGGTGCTTTCTCCTTGGATGTCCACCTCGTTGATGTCCGGCTTGTCCTGCGCATAGGCGCGCGTTGCAATGTAGGAGGCAAACACGCTTCCACGTTGAAAGAAAGTGCCCAAGTCAGAGCAGGTGATGTCCTTGTACAGGTCGCGTACTGGCAGCACAGCGCCTTCTGGGCGCTGCTTGTCGATGCGGACCACCTTCTTGACCATTGTGGTCGACTCGAGTCATTGTAATCGATGAATGGCAGGCCTGGCTGCGAGAACTTGGAACTGCGAAGCCTGCGCGGGCAAGCCTGACTCCTGCTGGGTCGCAGTCAGAGCCTGCGTTGCGTCGAGTGGAGTTACCGTCGCCGATGGCTCTCCGACCTGCCCCGCTTGCCGTCCTTGAGTCATGTGAGGGGCCGTAGCAAGTCTAACATCAAGGGGACCTTGCGCCTGCGCGCCCTTCTCTTCGATCAGCTTTGCGACCTGCTGCTCGTCACCCACCTTCGCCAGCACCGCCAAGTGCTCGCTGCCAATCAAGACGTTCTCCACTTGGCCGCTCCAGTCTGCAATGTGCGCTGCTGCCAACATGCGGGCAGCGCTGTCGGGCTCACTCGCACAAGCAGCGGCGTCCGCTCGCTTGCACTTGCCTGTGTCCGGATTGACCTTCGTGCCGCAGTGCTTGCATGGGATGTAGACGGGGTCACCAACCACAGACACCAGCCAGGCGGTATTCGTCGCAACCTCGACCTCATCAGCGGGCCAAAAGCTTAAGGCATAAAACTTGGCCCGGATCATGCTAACATGGACTCGCGTCATGCGCAAGCAACATGGCCCAGGCCTACAAGCCGTAGGCGCACACGTTAGAGGCACAGGCCACATAGCAAGGAGACAGCTCTGATGTCAAGCGGCCTCCTGCGCCAAGCGAAGGGCACCAAGGCACAGAGATGGCAGCTCCACGGCTCGTGTCCAGAGCGCGAAGCTTCTCACCTTGCGGATCGCGGCGCAGGTGCAAGAAGGAGTGCCTCTCACCCTCCAAGAAGTCCTAGCAGTGGCCTCGATGTTGTTCTCCCCGCGCTTCAACAGAGTGCAGTTGTCCACCTGCAAGATACAGCCGGCTGCAATCTGCGCCGCCTCGTTGACGAACTTCTCGCCTACAGCGTCAAGAGCATGGCTTTGCCCGACAAGTCTTTCATCCAAATGTTTGCCTTGGGCTTTGCAGTGGGCGCCACCTGGCAAGACGTCACCAGGCCGATAACGTCGATGCGCTCCCGTCCCACGCACCTTTCTCCAGCACGCTGAAGTCCGATCGGGCCACAGGAAACTTACCTTGCGTTGCCATGCTCTCCGGATGCGAGGACGCCATCGGGCCTTGGCAGCAGTGCCGCGCTCCGACAAGTCCACGTCCCCGCGTAGAACTTGTTGGCCGTGGTCTTCAGGCCGGTCGCCAAGACCACGGCGCAACCCAAAGTCCCAAAGTAGCAAAGAAAGGAACACATCTCTAGGCCTGGCCTGCGGGGTGAATGTGGCAATATCGTCTCTGCTTTTTGCCTCCACTTCCTCTTGCAGCCACGCCAGGCCACGATGAATCACGCCGGCCTGAAGCCTTTCTACTTCTCGCTCCATGACTTATGCTTGAGCCAATGCTGATATAGCAATGCCAGTGCTGATGCAGCACAACCAAACTTTGCAAACCATGATCGCTCACACAGAAACCACTTTGCAATAACGCTCATGATGACTCTGCACAATGCCTCTCATGACTCGGCGCAATGACTCTCATGACGACGACTCTCATGATGACTCTGCGCAATGACTCTCATGACGACTCAGCGCAATGACTCTCATGATGACTCTGTGCAACGACTCTCATGATGACTCTGTGCAGAGCTGTGGGAGTGTACTACGTGTACTACGTTTGTGCTGACAAGTCACGATTTTTGAGCCGGAGCTGTGCAGTTGCTCTGTGCAAGTTGCTCTGCGCAAATTGTACTTAAAAGTTGCGATTTTGCAGCCGGAGCTCTACTACGTTTGTACTTAAAAGTTGCGATTTTGCAGCCGGAGCTGCGGGGTGCACTCCGCGCGTTTGTATTGAAAAGTTGCGATTTTTGAGCCGGAGCTGCAAGAGTGTACTCCGCGTACTACGAGGTACTACGTTTGTACGATTTTCCAGCTGCGGGAGCGTCCTCCGCCTACTGCAATTTCTGTCTAGAAGAGCTGCCGCGGACCAGGCGGGAATCGAACCCGCGACCGCGCGACTCCGAGAGCAGGCGCGCAAACCGCGCGACAACTTCCAAAGACCAGTTCGCAAGCAAACTCGCACGGCGCCGCAGCAAGGGCGCTTCGACCGATCTCCGCAGAGGGTCGCGCGCGCATCGCAGAACTCGCAAAAAGTCCTCAGTTTTTCAACATCGACCACCGCAGAGGGTCGCGCGCGCAGATCAGAAATCGTAAAAATTCCCCAGTTCTTTAACCTTGACCACGCCGATCTCCGCAGAGGGTCGCGCGCACAGATTAGAAAACATAAAAAGTCCCCAGTTTTTTAACCTCGACCACGCCGATCTCCGCAGAGGGTTGATTTTCGTAGAGTGCTGTCGGCCCTACCCCGCAGCCCTAAGAAGAGGAGAAAGGAATTTAAAACTCTCATGAGCAATGACTCTGCGCAATGACTCTGTGCTATGACTCTGTGTTATGACTCTGATGATGATAATGATGATGATAACTGCTTGCAATGACTCTCATGATGAATTTACAACTCTCATGAGCAATGACTCTGTGCAATGACTCTGTGCAAATGACTCTGTGCAATGGCTCTGCGCAATGACTCTCATGCTGATAACTTCCATGACATGAACCCAGCGGAAGAACCCTTCGCCATGCTTTCGGGAAGAGTGGTGGCGTTCCTTTCGGATTCCCTTTCAAAAAAACCTAAGAAGGTGCCATCAAACAACAGACTTTCTTATAGTCATCTGGCAAACGCCATGAACTGATGAGGTGTTGTGTGGGAAAGAGGGTCTCTTGCCACTCGGAGAGTCTATGCTAAATGACAAGAATGCGTGATTTTCGGGTACAGGGCAAGGCTAATCAATACCGGTTGTTTAGTTTCCTTTTCAGGGAACCCTTGTTTGGTGCCATTGTTTGTGGGGGCGGTGGCCTTTCCTGAGTCAGAGTACGACTCTTTACAAGGCTTCCACCCAATACTGCCCTGTCAAAACGCAAAATCTTCTAATGGAAGCAAAGAACTGATGCCCTCTGTTTGTGGGAGGGGGTTGGTAGTTTTTAGTCCGGGGCTCGCTCCACAAAAACACACTTGGAGCCCAATGTTGCAAAACAAGAAAGAAATCACGCGTCTCGCAAGTCCTCAGGAAGGCTTGGGCTTTGTTCTGGGCTACGACGCCAGCCTCAAGGCGCGACGCGGGCAGACTCCGAGCAGTAGGAGGTTTAATGTTACCAGTACAAAATGTTATGATAAATTTAGTTTGAACTGTTTTAATTCCATACCCAAAGCTTCGAGAAGGGAGGCAGAACGAGCCTTTTCAAGGAAAGATCAAAGCTTTTGAGTTGCGCACGGTCGAGAAAATGAGTCCTCTGAATAATTTTAAGCTTGGCCACTACTCATATTCATCTTGTAAATAGCTCAAGTAAGCAGGTGCAGATCTGCACTCCCTGGCTCGCAGGTGTTGATCATCAGCTCTCGGGACACCTTCTTCTACGCAGTGGGCGCGCCTTCGGAAGGCGGGAAATGTCGGGAGTCGGGAGTCTGGGCAGCGGGCACCACCCCCCCCCCTCCAGGAAAAAAGGGCATAGTGTGTTGTTTGTTTTTGTGTTTTGTTTTGGTTTTTTGCTTCAAAGAGAAGAAACATCCCCCCGCAAACACATGGCTGGTTTGCGTTTGGTTTCCCTTTAAACCACCATTCCAGAGCACCCCCCCCCAAAAAAAAAAAAGACAGAAAGAAGAAAGACGGCAAATCATTGTGTCTTTCAGAATTTCAGGCGCCGGCACAGTTTGAAAGACCCGCACGTGTGTGTCTTGTTTTGACGGGGCTGGTTTCAAGGGGAAACCTGGTGTTAAGGGAACCCGAAAAGGAAACCACCCATTTGTGTGGCTCCCCTTTGAGCCAAACCCAAGTAGAGGGGTTCCTCTTTGAACCAGGTCTGCCAAGAGTCTTCGTAACCCCTTGATTTGCCGAAACCCTGTCAACTGAATTCAGCATCCAGCTGGTTTCAGCATCAGGCGTTGTAATCTGCCCAGACGGACTTTCTGGGCTAGAAACGGGTTTCCTAGCTCCCATTCTCCATCAACCTATTTTGCCGCGTTGAACTCTCCAATGTTCACAGAATGGAGCTGCTGTGAAAGGCCGCAATTGCAATGACATGTGCATTGAAGGGATGCAGCCGTATGATCAGGGATGCAGCCGTGGCCAGATTGAAAATTATTTTACTTCGACTGATCCCCACCGTTGAAGGTCAGGTGCAGGTTTCGTGGCACGCGCAGCACTTCCGCAAGGTCAGATATAGCTTTCTCAGGATCCGGTACAAATTTCCAGCAGGCGCAGCATTTTCGCAAGGTTAGAGAGATAGACAGACAGACGGAGATAGACAGAGACAGAAAGTAGATAGCTAGATGATAGAAAGATGGAAACATACAGAGATGGATAGACAGATAGAGATAGATAGATGGACGGATGGATGGATGGATGGATGGATGGATGGATGGATGGATGGATTAGATGGTAGATAGAGAAAGGTAGAGACAAATAGATAGATAGGTAGATGGATACACAGATAGGTAGAGAGAGAGAGAGATAGATAGATAGATAGATAGATAAAAACAAGAGATATCGATATGTTGGTGTTTATAAAACTAGAGACCCTCACCTGACAGGTGGGGAAAGAAAGAAGGCGCGCAGTGACTGCCGAGGATTTATGGATCTCTGCGCTCGCCTGGCCACGGCTGCGCGCACGAATGTCGCATCCGTCCCACGCATCAATAGATGGGTGAGGAATTCACCTTCCAGTGACACGAGCCTGGTGCTTTTTGAGGCAGAAGAGTCGTCTGTTATCTGCGGAGGGGATCTTTCCACGCTCGCAAGCATCCAGCTTCTTGATTAGCTCTTCCAAAGACCGCGGTAGATAGGGAGAGAGAGAGAGAGAGGTAGATAGAGAGATGGGTAGGTAGAGAGATAGCTAGCTAGATAGATAGATAGGTAGATAGATAGATAGATAGATAGATAGATAGCTAGAAACAGAGATAGTGAGATAGGTTGCCAAGATAGAAGGTAGATAGATAGACAGACAGATAGACAGACAGACAGACAGACAGACAGACAGATAGATAGATAGATTGGTAGATAGATAGATAGATAGGTGGATAGATGATAGGTAGATGGAGAGAGAGGGAGATCGATAGGTAGATTGACAGGCAGACAGATCGATAGGTAGAATAGAGGGATAGATAGATAGGTAGGTAGATAGATAGACATACAAACAAATAAATAAACAGATAGACAGATAGATGGATAGAGTGTGTGAGATCCAGTAGGCCCTTCGAAAAGTCTGGCCCTTCAAAAAGTCTGGCCCTCCACAGCCAGCCCCGCAAAAAGTCCAGCGCAGCAGCCCCGCGAAAAGTCCAGTGCAGCACACTCCGCAGCCAGCCCTGCGAAACGCCCAGCGCAGCACTTCCGCAGCCAGCCCCGGTGCAGGAAGTGAAGGAGGAACGGGAGCACATGAGGCACAGAATGAGACGCGGAGGAAAAGGAGGAAGGGGATGAACAGGAAGAGGAGGAGAGGAGGAAGAGGAGGAAGAGGAGGAAGAGGAAGTTGGAGGAAGGCGACGCTGAGATAAAATCTAGAGACCCTCACCTGAGAGGTGGGGGAAAAAGGTGTCGCCCCATACGGAAAACTCAGATCTCGGTGGTTCTCAGTTGGGTTCTGGACTTAACCCACTCTTCAGCAGGGATCTGAAAACGGATGGCGCAGAGATGTTCAGGCCCTTCTAATTCAAGCCCATGGGCTCCAATCATGTTGCCCTTTTGGCGTACGTGAGATCATTGCAAGACGTGACTTACCTAAACGCAAGATGCTCTCTTAGAAAGTTATTTTGCCTGTTTTTGCACCTACACCTTTGTCAGTGGGGGGGAGACCATGGGGGAGTTGTGGCATGTGCACACACCCCCACCCCCTTAATGCGCTTAATGGAATTGGGGAGGGGGGTGATCCCTGGAATGCATTGGAGGCATATTTGCGCCAGGCCTCGAGAAGCTGTGCGCAATCCCTGGCGCGGAAAGAGTCCCTTCGATGCGGCCGCCGGCAGACGCCGTTTGGTTAGCAGAGTCGGGGGGTTTGTCGTTGGATCAACAAGGTGGTTCTGTTCCTGAATATCTAGGCAATCCATATGGCCGGGCTAGGGAACTTGCAAGGCTCCCACCCCTCCATATTCCCTGCAAGTGGTGTGTCGTTGGCCTTGCTTGCCATGCACAAAGGAGTTGCAAAGCAGAGAGATTGCAGACCCAGGTCTCCTATGAACAAAGATCCCTATAAAGCTGGCAATGAAGCAAACACACGACTATGTTCTGAAATTTGAACGCAAGGACGTGCACAAAACACACACACACACAAGGGGAACACAAGCTCACGCGGACTCACTTGCCCGACCTTTTGAGCCTTGGCCAACCCTCGATCCGAGCGTAGCTGGACAACGATTTCAAACTCCTGTGGCTTCACACTTAACCCCCCTCCCCCGCACCCCACAAAGTTCAACGTTGCGCAGGGGAGTCCCGGTTTCAATGGCTTCTTCCACTCAACTGTAACTGAACCCTTCCCAAACGCTCAACAACGACATTGATCTTCGGGGCACAGGGGTTGGATTTTCAGTGAAGGGTCTGAATATGCCGCCCATGTACAGTAGCTGACTTTGATTTTTAATGTATTTTCATCTTCCAGGAAGCGTCTGCTCCTCTTTTGCGCAACAGCGAATGGGAGCCTAGGTGTGACACGCGTTTGGTTTGGCGCGGGATGTGCCAATTTCGGGGATGGGGAAACAGCCCGGATCAATCCGCAAGTTTTATCCACGCCATGCGCCGAAGAAACCTTCTCAGGAATGGAAGACTTGGGTGCCAAACAGCCAATGGATGCTTTAATTGTAGTCAGCGGATGGATCAAATTTGTTGGTTTGTCAAGATCGCCCGCGGCGCCTCATACACGGCAGGTGTCAAGCAGGTGTTTAATTTGTTTACAGGGTGGGGCGTCCTGGGACCTGCGTTTTTTTTTCAAATTCCTATTGGCTGCATTTGTGTAGCGCATATTTACATTTACATTCTTTTGATTGTGTGATCGCATGCAAGTACAGGCACATGTTTGTTCGAATGGAAGCTCAAGTTGAACTATGTTTCCAGAATGTGTGTTTAAATGTCAGCTGAATTGTAAATACATTCGACAGGAAAGAACATATGTACTGTGCAAAGTATCAATTAAAATATGAATATTCCAAATCAAATTATGTTCTGAAACAGCCCTTATCAAACTAGGTTTCAACTGTAATTTAATTGTAACTTTCTACTGGGAAGGGATTTTCATCTAATTCTCAATGTAAGATGTACTTTCCAGTAGGATTCTGATCCAGTATTCCCTAGTCGACTCCTATTCAAATTCAATCTGAGCGGCTCTGACCATGGTCGTGCTGGGGCTAGAAAACAAAAAGCACGATTTTCGGATCCCTGAAAATTTCACTCTGAAATCTACTTAACAATTTTTGCCTAATTCTACCCAATGTCTAAACGAAGTTAACTAGAAATTATTAAGGAAAGGCTCCAAACAAACTGAACATTTTAAACTAGAATTTGAACTATGGTTCTTATGTTTCAACATAAATCTTACACGCGAATCCCTTTCCAATAGAACTGTCCTTACAAATCCGTAACATGTATTAAGCATTTTGTCTGGGTTGACTGAAACCATCTCAATGGAAGCTAGAGAATCTGTTCTATGTCTACGAATGCAGACCAGGATGCTGAGGAAAAAAAACTCGAGTTGTGCGGGGAAACACACAAAACACAATTGCAGGCCCTGTGTCCCTAAGCTTGGACTGCCCAGCCATAGGACCTGCACCTCTTTTTTGTTTGGAAAGCTTGAGTTTTATGTTTTTTTCTGGAAAAGTGTGGAAGACCTCGAGTTGTCCGAGGGAAAAAAACAGAAACAACATTGCAGGCCCTATGTGCCTAAGCTTGGACTGTCCAGCCACAGGGCCTGCAGTGTTGCTTTTTTGGAAAACTCGGTGTTTTTTTTCCGGAACAGTGTAAAAACCCGGGTTTTCCAATGAACACAATAAAACAAACAACATTGCAGGCCCTACAAGCTCGGACTGCGCAGCCGTAGGGCCTGCTTTTTGTTAAACTCAATATTTTTCTTTTTTTCGAGTGTTCCAAAAAAACAAAAACCACTAAATTTTCTGCCCAGCCGTAGGGCCTGCATTTTTTTGCTTGTTTCTCGAGTTTTCCAAACAAACCATTAAAAACACACAATTGCAGGCCCTATGTCCCCAAGCTTGCACTGCCCAGCCATATAGGGCCTGCAATTTGTTTGTTTGATTGAGTTTTTTGCACAACTCGGTGTTTTTTTCCGGAACAGTGTAAAAAACCTTGAGCTTTCCAAAGAAACCAATGAAAAACACAATTGCAGGCCCTATGTCTCGAAGCTTGGACTGCCCAGCCATAGAGCCTGCATTTTTTGTATGAAAACTCGGTTGGATTGTTGTCTCCGGAAAAATGTGTAAACAACCTCGAGTTTTCTGAAAGCAACACAGCAAAAATTGCAGGCTTTGTGGCCCCCAGGAATCCGAAGAACGCCGCCCGGGTTGTCCTTTGACATCACTCAGCTGGGACGAAAACACGCGTGTCACATGGGGTTAAACGGAAAAGGGTTTCTACCGGGGTATGCAATCTTGTTCCGGCAAAGGCCAAGTTGGCTCTTGCACGAGTTACGCATTGTTCAGGGGCTGACCACAACGGGCAAGTAAACAAGCTTTTGGTTTCCAAGCAGATCAGTTTGTTCACGTTCACATTCGAATTGGATTGAATCAACAGATGCTCTCGTCAGAAGCCGTGGCAAGGACCATACTCCTGGCGACAGAACAAGGCCTTGGGAAACCGCGCCTTGGCATTAGGCGGGGTGGGTTGGTTTCACAATTTGTTTGTGTCACACTGGGTAGCCTTGTTTAGATTTGCAAAATTTGAACGGAATATCACAAGGACACTAACCACATGAACAAGTTTTAGATGTGAAACACACCCATATGAATGTGAGCAATGCTTACTTTATGTTGCAGATGTTGACCCTTGTGGCCAAGACGCATGCACGCAAACACACACACAGACACACGCAACACCACACAAAACACGAAACACGAAACACAAAACACAACACTCAACACAACACAACAAAAGACAGCGCAGCACAGCACAGCACAACACAACAACACAACACACACACACAAACACGCGCAAACACGCGCAGACGCGCGCACACACACACACGCACCCACGCGCAAGCACGCACGCACGCACCCCCCAAACACAGGCACAGACACAGACACACAGACACACAGACACACAGACACACAGACACACAGACACACAGACACACAGACACGCAGACACACAGACACACAGACACGCACGCACGCACCCACACACACACACACACGCACAAACACGCACGCACACACGCACGCACCCACACACGCACGCACGCACGCACGCACACACACACACACACACACACACACACACACACACACACACACACACACACACACACACACACACACACACACACACACACACACACACACACACACACACACACACACACACACACACACACACGCACACACACACACGCACACGCACACGCACACGCACACGCACACGCACACGCACACGCACACGCACACGCACACGCACACGCACACGCACACGCACACGCACACGCACACGCACACGCACACGCACACGCACACGCACACGCACACGCGCACGCGCACGCGCACGCACACGCACACGCACACGCACACGCACACGCACACGCACACGCACACGTGCATTACATTTTGCACACAGAGACACAGACACAAAGACGCAGACACATGGAGACACATCGAGATACAGACGCGCAGAAAGGCAAACACACAGACACATGGACGCAGGCACACACACACACAAACACACGCCACGCACACACACGCAAGCACGCACACACACACCCACACACGCACGCACTCACGCACGTACACTCACTCACGCATGCACCCGCACGCAATCAGGACTGCACCCACCCGCACGCACACACCACGCACGCACGCACGCACGCACGCACGCACACGCGCATGCATGCACTTACACACGCTCGCACAGACAGAGGCACACACACACAAGCACACGCAGAACATTGCGCCTAAGTATGCAGGTTTGACTGAACGCAAGAGTATTCGCTGTGTCAAACATGACCCTAGTTGTGTCACAAGGTTGGGGCTCAGGGTTTCAAATGGTTGGGTTTCGAAGACTATTCTAAGACCTCAGAGAGGATAAGTGTTGTATCTCAAGTCAGGCCATCCAAACAACGCATAAATACGTTTCAAGCATGTAGGTCTTGGCTGAAACGAGCGAGGCCAGACGTGGGAAGTGACTTAGATAGCAAACCCATGGATGAATAGTTGTTGGCTGAGATTCCAAGATTCTCAGACAAGCGGCAAAGGGTCAGCTTGGGATGCGGGTCTGAAGGCGCAAGGTGTCAGAAGGAAGGCAGATCTACCCCTCGGCCTCCATCGCTTCTGTTGCTTTCTCTGCATCCTTGCCTTACGTTTCCTTTACTTGCGGGACACAAGGGGGGGGTGTTCCGTTTTGCAGCAACAACATGCCAATCTGGGTTCCCTGTAGCAACCGAATTATGGTGATTTGAATTCCACGCTTTCCTCCTGCGATGCCTGAAAACGGAAAGTCATGGATCATGATCACGGCAGAAACGTACGCAGCGCAAACCATTAATTCACAATCAAAACCCAGGGTAATTGAAGGGGGCAAGGGGTGCGGCCGCTGTTTCGTGGTTCTGGGGCAGATTGTGCACAATCCTTGCTGCCCCTCCCCCCTCCCTCCCCGCTAGCCCCCGAGATTGTCGGCCGGTCAGTGAAGGTCAAGGCGCCATCTGGCTGTGGGTCAAAATTGAACCACCAGGGGCGGACCGCAGGTTTTAGTTCATGTTTCCTTCTACCAGAGTTCCATTTTGGGTACCTACTTTTGACCCCGAGCCATCTTTGGAAGCTGATGCAAACGCCCCGCTTTCACCAGTCGCTCCGATGGGTCGCTCCTCCGACTCGGGGAGATCGGTCCCCACAGCCCCGGTTCTCAAAATGGGGTGAGCCCCTTTGACATCTGGGCGTCTTTTGAGGCCACCATCCCCAGTTGCCAACTTATTTTCCAGCTACCAGTTGGACAAAAGTGGCTACTTGGGGATCCAGGTGCCCTTTTTTGGTCACGGTTTGGTCCTTCAGGCCCAAACGTATGAACTTTAAAGAAAACTCAGTGGGTGTTGCTCAAAATTCGGAACCCTGTCAGCAGCTTTGTCCTTTCCTTTTTCCTTTTTAAAGACATAGAAGGCACCCCGAATTGAGAGAAACACATATATTCCGTCGCGAGTAAACAGGTTCCCATGTCCAATCTCGGCGCGCTCAGGTAAAGATTGCCATATATTTCGTCGCGAGTAAACAGGTTCCCATGTCCAATCTCGGCGCGCTCAGGTAAAGATTCCGAGTCCTGAGCCTTGGTCGATCGACAACCCCCTCACAAGCAAGATGTTCTGAATCCAGGGGTGCAAAATGTGTACAAAAGGCGGAATTGCCAAAGGACCCTGTTTCTCCCGCTCGCGTTTTATTTGCTTCTCAGCCCCCTACAAGAAGGCACCGAACCGCGAACAGCCTGTCCAGGACGGGCTCTAGGAAGGTCCTGTTAGGGCTGTTGCTTCAAAGCCAGCTTGTTCCTGGATCCTTGAGAGTTCTTGTCAGTGTCAGCAGCCTTGGCAAAGCACAAACTCATATCATTCTTCAAGGCTTCCTTCTTGGGTTTTTTGTGCATTGTGGTGAAATGTGGTGAATGCTTGCAAAGCCTTATACTTCCCACTCATATTCCTGCGCCAGAATCTCCGCGCCATACCCCTGAACTCATTCTCGGCTTTGTTGATGGCGCTAGGCAACAGACTATCTAGAGGGTGACGTGTTGCTTCACGCGGGCTCGATTCAAGCAAGTGATGATTTTGTCGTATCCTTCGCTTCGCCAGGGTTAGCATTTGAGACCGGCAGGGTTTTTCTTAGATGGCGGCGTTGAACCACGGTGAAGTTGTTGCAGAGCTTTTGATGACCTTCGCTTTTTCGGTCTCCCGTCGTTATCCCTTCCCATTGCAGCCGCATGTTTTCGGTGCAAACCCGTTTGCAAGTCAACTGTGGCCACTGTACTGGTTACCAGTTTGTATTTTGAGCACACTGGAGTGGTATGTGCGCGGTTCTGGTATCCCATGAAGCAGGTTTTTGGGGGAGCTTTCTGAAGTTGTCGCGAGGACAAGCATATGCCCCCGATGCGGACGACCATGAAGTTGTCATCAAAAGTTGTGAGCTAAGGAGAACCGACTCGTGGAGACCAAGGGCGGCTTCTATTGCAACAACGGCTGCGTGACCTTTGTAGACCAGGCCCTTGCCTCGTCGTTTTTTCTTCCGATAATTTGCGGAGCCATTCATCGGCCGCGATCGGCATCCCTGTTAGGAGACGGCGAACAAAGGCAAACGCATGAGGGGTCCCCGAAATATTCCGCCGCAAGGACATGAACTCGTGTGGACTAGGGGCTAAAACCCCGGTAAAATGACAGCGATCCTTTTCAACGAAGGCTCCAATACCCCAGCAAGCAGGACAATGCACAGATCCCGTTTTGACGACTTTTGCGGAGGGACCTGAGCAATTCCATTTAGTCATTGCAGGCCTTTGGATAGGCAATCATGGTACCTGCTACAGGGTTTCTGAGTTCCCCTTTGGTTGTGTCGAGCAAACTTGAACTATTTGGGTCTAGGTTGCCTCTTTGTGAAAGGATCAACATGTTCATGTTTGTTTCAGCCAGACAATTTTACTGTTCGCAACACAGGATTTGTAGTTCGAACAGAAATTGGTATTCTCTTTCTTGCCTGAACGATCTAAA